GGACCACCAGGGAAGCCCCCAGACAGCCATTCTTGACACCTTCCTTTTTCTTCCCCCTTTCTAATGCGCCGCAATCTGCGCCCTCCACCGAATTTCTCTCCACCTTCTGCCTGAGCATCTCATCCATCTCCTGATGGCTTTCCTTCACTCCCCTGCTTCTCTGATCTATCTACCTGGCTGCTAGAAGAAGCTCCTTAAAACACAAATGGAATGCCATTCTCTTTAAAAAGTCCTTCAGTGACTTCTCATGGCTCTTAAAATAAGAAATACTGGGAATTCCCTGGCCGGCCAGTGGTTAGGACTCCAAGTTCTCACTGCTGAGGACCGGCGTTCAATCCCTGGTCAGAAACTAAGATCCCACAAGCTGCAAGTCTCAGCCAAAAAAAAAAAGAAAAAGAAATACTGTGGTCCTCATGTCCTTCAGGTTCTCCATAATCGTGTCACCGATGGCCCCCCGCTGCCCTGCACTCCAATTATAGGACCTTGAACTGCCCAAACTGTCCTTAGGGCCTTTACCCTGTGATTCTTTCTGCCTAGAGCACCTTCTCCCCTTCTCTACCTCACTGAGTCCTCCAGGGCATCCCTAAGTGCTTTGTCCTCCAAAACACCTGCTCTTCTGACACTCTACCCACTCCCATTCTAAGTGAGGTCTTCTCTATGGCACTCTCTTCCTCCTCTCCCCTTCTCCTTCATAGCACTTACCACAACAGGTGATTGCATATTTATTGGTGCATTTATATATATTTATCGGTGCATTTATATATATTTATCAGTGCATTTATTTTGAATCATCTTTTCCTACTTGAGATCTACTCCCCCTACCCTCCACATGCCCCATAAGGGCAGAAATCTTGCCCATTTTATTCATTTCTGTGTTCTCAGCATCTAGTAGAGTGCCCAGCTCCCAGGAGACTCTCAGGAAACAATAGTTGGATGAGTGAATGAATGGGCCCCTCCCTGCCCCCACCCCACACCGGAGAGGGGACTCACTTGCCCAGGGACTCTGCCCACTCTTTCCCTGCTCCCTGGCTCTGATCCTCTGCCCTCAGCTGCAGCCTGTGGCCTCTAACAGGGCTGTAGCAGGAGGCCCTGGCCCCAGGGCACCCTGGTCTTGTAGACAGAGGAGGCTCCCCAGCCAACACAGAGTCTCTGAAGCGTGGCTGCTGAGTGTCAGCACTGATGGGAGAGGCTGCTTCAGGCTATGCGAGGTGCTAAGCTTTGAAGAACCATCTGGGTGCCAACGGCAGGTTGAGAGGGTGGCATACATATCCAGGCAAGGAGGGAGCAGAGCACACGCAGGAAAAAGCAGAGGTCATGTCTTTAAAGGCTTCTAATACCTGTTCGGACTTTATTTTGGACAAAATGAAGGGCGGCAGCTAAGGGGATTTTGTACCTTGTTTTATTGTTTTTTAAACAGGTCGTGCACTCTAAGTCACTTCAGTCATGTCCCATCTTTGCGACTCTATGGACTGTAGCCCACCAGGCTTCTCTGTCTATGGGATTCTGCAGGCAAGAATACTGGAGTGGGTTACCATGCCCTCCTCCAGGGGATCTTTCCCATCCAGGGATCGAACCCGTGTCTCTCACGTCTCCTGCATTGGAAGGCGGGTTCTTTACCACAGGTGCCACCTGGGAAGCCCTTTTAACAGGAGACTGACAGAAAACATATTGGGTTGGCCAAAAAGTTTGTTCAATGTTAGAGGAAACTCAAATGAACTTTTTAGCCATCTCAATTTTTGGGGGGGTGTTGGGGTTTTTAAAGTTTATATATTTATGGTTGCATTGAGTCCTCATTGATGTGCACAAGCTTCTCTGGTTGTGGAGAGCAGGGCTACTCTCTAGTTGCAATGTGCTGGCTTCTCTTTTTTCTGTGGCTCCCCTGTTGCAGAGCCGCTCGAGTGCAGATTCAGTAGTACACAGGCTTTGTTGCCCCACTGCGTGTCCTATTTTCCTGGGCCAGGGATTGAACCCATGTCCCCTGCACTGGCTGGTGGATTCTTAACCACTAGACCACCAGGGAAGTGCCCCAATATGTTTTGAAGGATCCCCTGGCAGCAGTGTGAAGGTTACATCAGAGACACCAAGAGTTTACTATTGCTAAGTGCTATATACTTAATGAGATTTATTTTATTTAGCTATTAAAACATCCTTGTGAGGTCGAGGTTATATATAATTGCTGTTTTCTAGTTTAGAAGCCTAAGACTCATAGCAGCCCTCTTCACTGGATAAGTGCTCCTTCCCATCCCATGGGATCCTGATGGGATGGTTAATCACCTTGCCAAACCTGTTCCTTGGCCATGGGTGTGGTGTGAGGTCCAGGCCTGGCCAATCAGTGGGCCCCTTGCCCTGACAACAGCAACTAGTCCAAGGGGCCAAGGGATGGTCATGTGACATAAGCAGAAGCAAACTGAATCCTGGGATGTTCAAGATAAAGACTCTGGGAGAGAGTCCCACTTCTTTTTGGATCTCAAGCTGTAACCATATAAGCTGGAGGCGTATGAAACCCATTTCCTATGACTTAGAGATCATTTCTATGTGACAGGATTGAAGGTGACCAATGCACAGAGAAACAGATGAGCAGGATGTGGATGCAAAGGGAGAGGCGGATGTAGGTATTTGAGCCCCTGGATTTAGCCACACCTGAAGTTAGACCCACCTGAACCTTCCCAGTCCCGGTACATAAGCCTTTCAATTACATTGTTTTGTGTTTTTAAAAAGCCAAATAACTGATTCCACAACCCCACAATCCCATACATCCGGAAGAGAAGAAAACTCTAGTTTGAAAATATACACATTTCAAAAATATACATGTACCCCCTACCATGTTCAGAGCAGCACTATTTACAATGGCCAAGACGTGGAAAAAACCCAAGTACCCATTAACGGACAACTGGCCTAAGAAGACGGTATATATATACCAGACTATTACTCAGCCACAAAAAAGAATGAAGTATTATTATTTGCAGCAACATGGATGGATACAGAAATTATCATTCTAAGTGAAGTAAGTCAGACAAAGAAAAATATTATATATCACTTATATGTAGAGTCTAAACAGTAATATAGGAAATTTCCTGGTGGTCCAGTGGTTAGGACTCGGCACTTCTACTGCAGGGGCCAGAGTCAGATCCCCGGTTGGTCCGGAAACTAAGATCCATAAGCCACAAAGTGTGGCAGAAAACAAACAAAAACAAATGAACTTGTTTACAAAACAGAAATAGACTCACAGACATAAGAAGCAAACTTATGGTCACCAAAGGGGAAAGGGGTGGGAGAGGGATAAATGACGAGTATGATATTAATGTGCGTTAGTCGCTCAGTCGTGTCTGACTCTTTGTGACCCCACGGATTGTAGCCCACCAGGCTCTTCTGTGCATGGGATTCTCCAGGCAAGAATACTGGAGTGGGTTGCCATTTCCTTCTCCAATGGTGTTAATAGATACACACTGACATATATAACATAAACAAGGATTTACTGTATATTCACTATCTTGTAGTAGCATGTAATGGAAAAGAATTGAAAAACAATCACTTTGCTATATACCTGAAACTAACACAATATTGTAAATCAACTACTTGTGTGCACAGCTGTGTCCAACTCTTTGCGACCCCATGACCTGTAGCCCACCAGGCTCCTCTGTCCACAGAAGTTTCCAGGCAAGAAATACTGGAGTGGGTTGTCACTTCAGGGGCTCTTCCCTAGCACAGTGGTAAAGAATCTGCCTGCCAGTGCCAAAATCAACTATACTTCAATTAAAAACAACGACCCAGATAACTGAGGCTGAGGGAAGCTAGGTAACTTTTCTGAAGTCACAACTAGCAAGTGGCAGAACCAGGATTTGAACCTCTCTTATCACTTGTGCTCACTTGGCCCCAGTCACATCATGATAAGAGGCAAACCAGTTAGGAGCTGCGGCTGAATAAACCAGGTGAGCAGTGAGAAAGCAGCGTCTAGTGCAGTGGTGTGTGAAAGAGATCGTGATGGGATTTGGGGAGACAGAGAACTGAGTGTGCAGGCTTAGGGAGGTGCGTGGGAGGAGGACCTAAGGGGCCTGGAAGATCCAAGAGCGGGGGCAGACGGGGCAGAGTGAGAGATCTCGAGGCAGAGATAGGCTTGTCTCAGACACAAAGAGACATGGGCAAGAGCAAGGCCATCCTGTGGGCGGCAGTGAGTCATCGGGAGCCACGTGGGAGGCCAAGGCCAGGCCTGGGGTCGCCCACAGATTGGGGTTGGAGGAAGGAACAGTTGGAGGAGGAGAAGGGAGCTATGTCACCATCACAGGAGAAGGTGGGAGTCGGCTGCTCAGCACCTGCTGAGAGTCAGGGGATGAGGCCTTAGTAACTTTGGAAGCCAGAGCTGGGGGCGAAGGAGGCTGGGGGAGGGGGAGTGAAGGTGATGGTCATGGATTCCGCAGCAAAGGAAGGGGAGGTGAGGAGGAGGGGGAAGGTCAGGTGGTTCCCTCTCCCTCGTGAACCCTGCACCAGTGCTGCTGAAACATCGGACTCTCTCACACTGCCCCCTCAAAGGCAAAGTTGGGCTCAGGTGACTTACCCAGCCCCTTCCCAATGAGCCAGAGACAGGTTTTATTTCCTAAAACATTTTAATAAAATTAACCAATAAATATTCTACACTGTATGGGCTACAGGGACAAAGAGTGGAAGACAGAGGGCCGGTCTTCCCTACTTAGGCCCTCGGGTCCCCTTGCAGAAAAGGAGAGAGGTGGTGCTATGGGCTGGTTCAGGGCTAGGACTGGGGCGGGGGGCGGGGGAGTGATCCTGGAATCGGTGATCTGGGCTCCATCCATCGTGTTGATATATGGGAGGAGAGGAGGGGTCAATAAAAGGAGAGCCCCTGCAGAAGGCAACCCAGAACCCCCAGAAGTAACTGGGGTGAGGGGAGAGCTAGCCTAGAGGAAGAGGTGGGGGAGGGGCAGGACGCAGGGAGCAAGGACCGGTGGTGGCTCCCGTGGCGGCTCCGGTGGCTCTCGGGCCACAGCTGCTTACTCCCGCACATAGACCCTGGTGCACACGATGTCATCCGCCGTCATGGTCTGAAAGGAGAGGAGTCACTGTTAGCCTGGGAGGCCCCTGGTTCCTGTGCTTGGGAGCAGGAGGGCTGCGTGGAAGTACTCTGCTTGGCCGCCAGGTCCAAACCTACTTCTTGGCTCAGGATGGTTCACAAAATGCCTGGGCATCATGTGATGGAGGACAATAGAGGCCCAGGGTCCATTCTACGTCTCCCTCCCCAAGCCAGGAAGATCCCCCCAGAGAACTGCTGGGGCCTTTCAGAGCAAAGTCCTTTGCTCCACACGGAAGGGACACCCTTTTGCATTTGCACGAGGGTACTGCATGGGACAGAGACAGCCTAGTTCTGCCCCAGCAGCTCCATCAGGAGACAGAGAGACCAGCCACCGTTGTTCTTAAATTTCCTGTACTGTGGAATGTCCTGGAAAATCTCTGAAGGTAGCACTGGGCTTGCTCTGTCTGAGCTAGGAGAAAAGCAGGAAAAAGCCTCACCAGGATCAGCTCTCCATCGTTGGTCAGTTCTCTGGTCCAGGAGGTCTTGGGACCCTCTCCCTTCAACAGCCTCTGCTCGCAGACCATTTTATTCTCACTCTCCCATTTCACCAGGCTCTGCACGAGAGGGTGGCCAGATGAGTTGGGCCCACAGCTGGGACAAGGCCGTGAGAGGGACAAAGGAAGCGCCACCTTTCTACCCACCAACACTACCTAGGGGCTCTCCCCACCGGAACTGGAGGAAAGACTCGAGGAAAAGATTGGAAAATGTCATGGTGAGACACCAGGCGACGGATCCCACTGACCCTAAGGGACCCCACCCCTGCACGCACCTTACAGGGTCTCCCATCTACAGTCTGCTCTTCAAACTCCTCTCCGATCTTGAAGTTGATCTCCGTGGTACGCACGGTGGTGGAGGTCTTGATGTAGAAAGTGTCCCCCTCCTGTTTGATCTCCACTGCTGGCTTGGACGCTGCAGCCACTGCGATCTTCCTCAGCATCACATTCACCCCTGTAGGGAGGGGAGAGGATGGACGCTCCAGGCACCTGCCTCACACCCTCCCCAGGGGTCAGCAGGAGCAGGCTGAACTGTGAGTCAACTGAGAAGAGAGGGAGGCTTCCTGGGTGTCCAAAAAGCGTCTTGAAAGGAGGGCAGGTGGTGCAGCCCTGATGGCCAGGGGGGTCGGGGAGGAGGGGCAGAGAGGCAGCGCCCTCCCTTGGGAGTTCTGCTTCTAGCCTGGATGAGTCAGCAGCTCTGGATTGAGATCCCCAAGTCTCAGCTTTGCACTCAGTTCTCCCCGGTCCCTTCATCCTGCTACAGCTCCCCTTGGCTCCATTCACATCACTTTTGGTCCTCTGTCCACCTTGCTTGAGGCCATCTGCTGGGGTGGGCTCCTCAGAGTCACTGTGTCTGCACCCCCACCTGTGTGCAGGGCAGACCCTCCTCAGCCAGCCCTCACTACTCATGTCCTGAAGTAGGGGCCACTTCCCTCTTTGCCTACTCACCTCCCCTGTCTGGTGGCCTTGATTTGCTGAGTCTCTGTCCCTCCCAAGATGAGAAGGAACAGGGATTCTCAACAGGAGAAGGGGTGTGGCAGCTGTGTCCCCCCTACAGAATGGTTTGTAGCCTGGGGAAGCCACAGGCTGTGAAATGAGACCGATTGGGCCATCATTTCCACCTGGCTCACCCTCCCTTTCAGGCTGGGTGACCCTGGGGTAATGGCTTAACCTCTCTGAGCCTTAGATTTCTCACTTGTAAAATGGAGACAATAGCTTCTTCAAGAACCTATCAAATGGGACGATGTGTGTTTAGGCCGGAGCACACACAGTACCAGGCACATCTTTAAATTTTAAACAGTAGCTACCCTTATTGTTGTGGTTTTTACTGATTAAAGGAAGGCAAGGAAACAGCCAGAGTTGGGGCTCAAAGTTCCATGTATCAGACTGCTGTTTGCCTGCCCTCCTGGAAGACATCTACATCCCTCTCCCCTCAAGGGACAGAAAGGGACACTCCCCTTCCCTCCCGTGATGTGCCCCAACTCCAGGATCACCCACCCTACTTCAGGGCCCAGGTCTTCTCATTCAGCTACTGTAGGTTCAGAGTCCCTGTGCCTGTCCCCCTGTCCTTTCCCAGACTGGACCCCTTCTCTCCGCTCCCTAGTTATTTAAAAGGAATGGGGTAGCCGGAGAGAGCAGCCCTCTGCCAGGAAGTCAAGCAGGCCGGGAGGCACCTCTAGTCGGGGCCCAGGTCCAAGCCCTGCACCGTTTCACCTGGCTTGGCCTCCGGCCCTGAACTGGAGCAGAACCATTCCGGGAAACAGTGGGTGAGGATGAGGGGCCAAGCTGGGCTGGGCCAGGTGAGTGGCCTGGGATTCCCCTGATGCGGGCCAGACCCCCGGCTCTCCTCTAGACTTGGATCCCTAGAGAAACACATTCCGTTTCCCCTTGGCACCAGCACAGACCCACTCTGCTGCAGGCAGAAGGGAGCAAGAGCAAGGCCTGTCCCTCAGGAGCCCAGGGACCCACTTTCTGGTCGCTGATCTCCTGGGACCAGCGAGCAGTGACTGAGGTTCCTGAGACTAACTGACCTGGTAAAAGAGACACATCCTGCTCCAACTCCTTGAACAAACAGACTGCTTCACTCTCTGGTGCTACCTGGGAAGTCCATCCTGCTATCTAACAATTGTCTTTCCCATTACAGAAGCAGGAGCTGCTCGCTATGTGCTGTGCTTGTGTGCTAAGTCGCGTCCAACTCTTTGTGACCCTATGGATCATAACCCGCAGGCTCCTCTGTCCACAAGATTCTCTAGGTAAGAATACTGGAGTGAGTAGCCATGCCCTCCTCCAGGGGATCCTCCCAACCCAGGGATCGAACCTGCATCTTTTACACCTCTTGCACTGACAGTCGGGTTCTTTACCGCTAGCGCCACCTGGGAAGCTACGTGCCATGACCATCATATTGGATGGGACAAAGAAGTGAAGTGAGTTAGATGTGAAAGTCGTCTCAGACTCTTTGTGACCCAGGCCAAAGTACTGGAGTGGGTAGCCTTTCCCTTCTTCAGGGGATCTTCCCAACCCAGGGATCGAACCCAGGTCTCCTGAATTGCAGGAGGATTCTTTACCAGCTGAGCCACAAGGGAAGCCCAAGAATACTGGAGTGGGTAGCCTATCCCTTCTCCAGGGGATCTTCCTGACCCAGGAATTAAACCGGGGTCTCCGGCATTGCAGGCAGATTCATTACCAGCTGAGCCATAAGGGAACGGACGGGTATCCTCCAAATACCTGAGCATCCCTCCCCAGGAGAGAGACCCCTGAATAGGACAAAGAGGAGTAGGAAGGGACTGAGGTCCCTGCAGAAGCAAGGCTCGGTTCAGAGGGGACACCCCTCCTGTCGCCTCTGGTGCCTGTGGCGCTGGGGCCAGGCTCAGCTGACCTTGGCTGACTCAGGACTGTGTTTGTCTAACGGGTCTGTTTTCGATCTGTCCCCTCAGCAAGCCCTGAGGAGGGCACGTGGCTCTGAGAGACCCCACAGGGAGGACAAACAGACTGAAGACAGACAGACAACAGGGTTGGGCTTAGGATCTAATCCTCCAGCTGGGGCCTGGGGGTGCGATAGGTCACTGCCTCGTTTACTAGGGAGAGGGGCCAGCATCCAGAGATGATGGGGGAGGGAATGGCATCCAGGCTTTCCGAAGGGAAAACTTTTCTCCTTTCCTTTAAACAAGGGTAGAGCAAGCAAGGCTGACAGAACTCAGAAATACTGTGGTCAGATTGCAAGAAAAACTAACAGTAAGGTAGGGTGTGGAAATCCTTGCTTTCCTCACAGCATTCCAGACCTTTCCTCATTCCTAACTTATTTCTTCAGCTCCCTGCCCCATGCAGGGTGCCCTCTGCCCAGTCCAGCCAGAGTCTTTCTGTTCAGGCCGAAATGGAGGGCTCCAGGGTTTCCAGGTGGCTTCCGAGTGGCTGAATTCTTGACTAATCTTTATCTCTCTTCAAAACCCTCTCCCCAGCCGGTCCAGGCTTTCTCTGCCCCACCCCACCCCCCAACTCTCCAGACACTGAAGGGCACACAGGAGTTGGGACAGGCAGTCTGAGTAGGTTCAACTTCTTCCACCTTCAACCGGCTGGGCTGCAGCCCGGCTCTCCAGGGAGGGAGGGAGAGGAGAACTCGGATTTTCCGAAAAGGAGGGGGTGGCTGGGGTTTCACACGAAGCCATTTGTTGAAATCTAAGAAAGTGATAATTATCCAGAGCGATTTTAGGACTCTAGTTGCTCGCTGTAGGAAAGTATTTGTCTCACAGATGGAGGGTGGGGGGAGCACAGTGGAAAAGTTCTGAAAGGGGAAGAAAAGGGAATCGAGGGGCCCTGCAGTGACGGATTACCTAGTGGGCGGAACCCGCGGCAAAGAGGTAAGGAATCTGCCCCCGGAGATTGGGTTACCTGCAGGGGGCAAAGGGGAAGGAGGCAGGAATGCCTCTGGGGGGTTCGGTTGGGTAGAGACCCAGGTTCTCAGCCTGGACGCAGTGTGTGCAGCTTCTGAACAGCGGAGAACCCCCTTGCCTCACCCCAAGAGATACCGACCTCGTGCTTCTGGTTTCTACTTGATTCAGAGGCTGAGTCACTGCAGCAGCTGGCACTGGTGGGCGCCCCGCCGGAGAAAGGATTTAGGCATTCGGGCCCAGCGCCCCAGGACCCAGGCGTCTGGCCCCTATTCTTGGGAATGTAGGCGCTCAGCTTCCCACGCCCTGGTTCCAGCTTCCCTTTCTTTCTCATACCCACCTCCGATGCCTCGGCACGCTCTCTCCCCTCCCCGGCGATCAAAAATCTTACCCAGAACTTTGAGCAAATCCTCGAAGTTCTCCGATCGGATGATCTTCCAGTTACCAGAGAAGTTGGGCATGGTGGCGGCGCTAGTGGAGGGCCCCTTAGATCTTTCCACTGGAGCACTGGACGCTGAGTCTTTTAGTCAAAAGAGATGTCTCCGCCGCCTTGCGGGACTCAGGAAACGGGAAACGTCCGAGGACAACCCTAAAGCCGGCCTGAGCTCCCGCGCGGACAGCTTTTATACCCTTCGCGGACCCGCCCTTGCCCAAGAACGAGGTGGCCCCGCCTCCCGTCCCGCCCCCCTCCCCACCTGTGGGGGCCTTGAGCCCCGTCCCTTCATTACCGTCCCACCCCCACCCCCACTACGGCCTCTGGATCTAGACCCATGCGAGGGTCCAAAATTCGCTGAGGGGGCCCGAGATTGCTGGCTCCCGCGCCAGTGGGTGGATGAGGAGGCGGACGGAGGGCGAGCCCTAGGACTGGGCTCTCAATCAAGAAGAGAGGGCGCCGGGTCCGGGGCACAGAGGCTGGGGTCTCACGTCTGCAGTCCGAGGCGCAGGGTCGCATCTCGCCTGTTCCCCATCCCTCCCCAACCTGACACTGTGCACTCTGCTCCTTGGCGCCGGACACCCGGCGACACCACCAGCTGGCGAACCACTCCTCGCGAGTCGGAGCTGGGGCGGCCGAGCTCCGCTCCGCTGAAGCTGGAGCTGGATCCAGGGTGACCGCTCCGAACTCGAGAGAGGCTGGGGAGTCCTGGGGTGCAGGGACCAGGCACCTAAGTGAGGCAACGGCGCCCCCTGCTGGAACAACTCGAAGACGCTGGGAGGGGGTTCACCCCCGCCTCCCGCCCGAGACTCCCCACCCGGGTTTCGGGCTCCAGTGGTGCCCGGTGGGCTGAAAGTTGGCGCAGAGAGACTCAGTCCTCAAAGAATTGCGCGGGCGTCGAAGGGTTAAACAGGAGCCATGAGCGCGAGGCTGGGGAGGGCAGAGGTCACAACCAATCACTTGACACGAGCTCTTTATTAAGGCGCTTTCTCTGTCGCTCGGCTCCCCAGACCCCCGAGGGGATCGCAGTACGCGGCAGGGAGGGGAGGCGGGGACAGAGGCTCTGAGCCCCCGGCGCGCCGAGCTGCCACCTCCGGGTGGGGTGAGCGGGGGCTGGGTGCCCGGGGAATGGGAGGAGCAGGGTCTCAGGTGTCACCATCCTGAGCCGTAAAACGGCGGAAGGAGCGGCCGCCCCTCGGCGAGCGGCTTTGAAGTGGGAGATCAAAGGAGGGGGGTAGGGCACGGCTGCACGCGGAGACCCAAGTGGGAGTGGGCGAGACTCCGAGGGAGGGGGCCGGGAGACAAACAGAAATGAGGTCACGCAGGAGCTTCGGAGACAGGCCAGGAGGCCGCAGACCGCCTACCGCAGAGGAGCGGGGTCGGGCGTGGGGAATACGGTACTCCTGAGCGAGCCGAGCCCGGGGTCTGTTCCGCGTGGAGGGCCGCTGCGGCCCCGCTGCCCCCGGCAGACCGGTGCACGTGGTCCCGATGCCCTTAACGCACCGCCAGCCCCGCCACCCTCCCGGAGCTGTCCTTCCAGCTTCTTCCGAGGCGGGGAGAAAAATCCCCACATCTGGTCCCAGCCCTGGGTTCCTGCCCTGGCCCCACCCTGCCAGCGTGGCCAAGGGTGGAGCAGAGGACCAGCTCTGCGAGATTCTGGGCCCTTTCCTTTAGAGCCCTGGAACAGTCTAGGAGGTTAGGGGCCTTAGTTGGGGAGGACCCCCGAGGAGGAGAGCCAGCAGAAAGGGGCTGGAGGATTGACCAAAGGATGGAAAACACACTGGAGGTCCAGCCTCTGTGCTGTAAAGAGGAAAACCTCTGAATAATGGGTGTGTAGGGAAAATAATGCAATTAGGGTAACTCTGGCACTGAAAGGATGGAGATTAAGACTGTAGAAAGGGCTTTTTGACGCCCCCCCCCCCCATAACCAATAAAATGTCAATTCTGAAAAAGGAGCTGGAGGCTTCAGCCTGGTTTTAGGGTTCCAGGTTTTGTGTAGGAGAGTTTAATTGCAGGGAGCGGGGTGGGGGTTGGCCTGGTCTTCTGCAAGTGAGGGGGCAGCGGGTGGAAGGGCTCTGGGAAGATGGAGAGACAAAAGCAGAGATGGTGGAGGGAAGGGGTGGTCCCTGGGGGGTGCTTAGGACCTGGGGTTGAGGCACTGCTCCTCCCCCATCAACCGGCTGCAGCTTCGCTGTAGGTAAAGGGAGGGGGATTAGGCTTTGACAGTGAAATCAGGCTCCCAGCCAAAGGGAAGAGGAGAGGCTGGGGGAGGGAACAGGGCAGACACCAGACTCCTGCTGCCTCTCCTTCCCTCTCACTGCCCCCTGCCTCTTCCATCCAGGCCGCCTGTCAGTCTCGGCTCCAGCCTTCTTGAGCCCCTAGCCAGTCTCCTCCTCACTAGGCATCTCTCCTACTGCAAAAAAAGAAGGGCCAGGGCTGACCCTCTCCTCCTCAAGCTTGTGACTAAGGATGTAGAAACCTCACCCAAAAGATGGTCACCAGGATGAGGGGGGCCTGGACCTACAGGAGCACAGAGGAGGGATGTGGTCTGGCTGAGGGAAATAGAGGGGCTGGAGGTGGGGGCTCCCTGGGGTGGAGGCAGGCCAACCTGGGCCCACTCCCCTCCCTTCACTTCCTCACTCCCCCCACCCCCACCCCCATCCCCCCCACTGGCCAGGCAGCCAGAATTACCAAAGAGACAGAAGTAAGACAAAGGGAAGTTGGGCTGGGAGGAGAATTTTTTCCAGATGTGAGTGTTTGTGGTTTGGCAGCTCTTGGCCTGAGCTCCAGCCCCTGCACCCCAACCCTGGCTGAGAGTTTGGGCAGAGGGTCCAGAGCATGGTGCTGAGTAGCCAGGCTAGAGGTTTCAGCCTCCAGCAGCCCTATTACCATAGGAGCATGGAGGCACATGTGTAAGGGGTACTTAGGAAAAAATGCAGGGGAAGGGGGTTGGGGGGCATGAGGTTGGGGAGCAGTGGATGAGAGGGCTGGGGGACTGGGAAAGGAGGCTAACAGAGGAAGCTGGGGGAACCTAGGGGCAAGGGGTAGTGGCTAGAGCCCTGGAACCAGGTGATGGGGAGGAGCTTAGCCAGCATCAGTCAGTCACAAACAACTGGCTTTAATTTCCCGCTGGGATCCATAAGTAGAAGGAATTTCCTAGTGTCGCTGGCCTTTTAATTATGATCAAATCTGCTGCAGATCTGCCTGGGGCAATGCGTTCCCCTTTCTAAGAGCCTGGGTCATATCTCTCTTGGGGATCCCCCAAGAATTTGGAGACTCAAGTGGGGGGGGTGCCAGATTGGTGAGACAAGGTGGGGGAGCAGAGGCAGGATAGGGGTGAGGAAGAAACAGACAAGCTAGAGTTAGGAAAGACATTCTGGAGCTTTGTTCTCATTGCAGTGTGGCTGTGTGGAAAGTGGCTAGTTTTGCAGAAGGAATGCAGATGGGCAGACTCTTGAATGGTTGCGAGAGTGTGGGTGTGAGTGGATGTAGGTGGGTGCACAATTGAAGGGTCTGGGGGCTTGGGAAGAGGAAGCTGCCCCACCTCTCTCCATCATTCCCTTGAGGCTGAGTGGGGGAGAGTGATGGAAAGAGTGGGAGTGTTGTGAACCCCTCACCCTCACCCCCAACGGGGACAGGGAAATTCTCCAGCCAAATGCAGCACTTGTAGAAGGGCCTCACCCTGCGCAGTGTTATTGCATCTGCTGGATCAGAGAGTTTGTTGGCGGAGAGTCATGTAGAAATTAAACCCAGGTGGGGCTGGACACCTGGGTCTCTGCCATTCAGGGTAGGGGCCGCAAAGGAAGCAGGAATTCTATAGAGGGTGGGAAGTGGAAGAGTAGAAGAGAGGAGCTGGTGTTCCCCTGGGCAGGACCACTGTATCTCCTGGCCTCCCTGAGCCCTCAGGATTCCATGCAGCACCAGCATAGACTTAAGCATCCTGCCTCCAGGTCTGCTCTAATCCTTGATATTGAAGGAAATGTTCCATTCGTGTGTCTCCCTGGGCTTAAGGATATAGCCTTTTTCAAATCTTCTAAGACCCGGCTCTGTTCCTCCCCAAATGAAATTGCCATTGCAACAGGATAGATGCAAGACCAAAAAAAGAGCTTCCAGCAAGCTAAAGTGCAAGCTGGGAGTCAGAGAGTAGAAAGGAGGCAACTCATTCCCAGGGACATCTGGGCACAGGAGAGAAATCTTGGGAACTAGGGAAGGTGTGGCCAGAGAATCTGAATGATGGGGGAAGGGGCAGCCAGACTCAAAGGAAGGGTATGACAGCAGCCTCCGGAGCTAGCCCTGGGGCCCTGGCAAAGGGGGAGGCGGGTGGGGTCAGAGGCACAGCATGGGAGGAGGGGGCTGCCTGCGACAGGAGGGATCACAGTGAGGCCAGGGGAATCTGCAGGCACCCGGGCAGCCAGGCGGCTCCTCTGTTGTTTTTGGCTCTGCTACCTGGTTCCCAGCTCCAACTGCCAACGCTCTCCTCAGGGCTGGGCTGGGTGCATGAGCCGGGCAGGCTGAGCAATGGAGGGGGGAAGGAGGAGGTGGGGATGCACTGGCGGAAGACGTGTCGGGAGATCGAATCTCTGTCCCCTGAGAGGGGCCCCTGGCTCTGTTCGCCTTTTCAGGGGCAGGCGCAGAGGTGTGGGCAGTCATCGAAGAGCCTGGAAAAAAGGCCTGGGCTCTTTGTTCGTCTGTTCCTCTGCCCTGCCTCCACCACCCAGACTGCGCTTCTTGCCAGTCCACTATGGTAGCTAAGGTAGTCCCTTCCCCCATGTAGGCCCCTGCTCCATTTTCTCTCCTACCTCAATGAAAACCACCACATTTGATTCCCCTTCCCCTAGAGCCTCCTTGCTTCTCCGAGAACCTCCAGGCTGAGGTGGGGATTCAGTGTGGCCGGGATTGTTGGTGGCAGCTGCCAACATCTGAAGCCATGTGGCCCTGGCCCTGACTCTGGCCAGCCGTGGCCCCTTCCCCGCTCCGGAAGGAATCCCCCCAGGGCAGCACTGCTGGATGAAGAAGACAGTCAGCCCTGTGACCTGCTGTTAAACTCTTCTTGGCTTTTATGATGCAGTGACTAGGACCAGACCCCTCTGCCATTTCCACTCTCAGCACTGGCCCCTTAACCCCTGGCAGCCCAAGGCAGGAGGGAGAAGGCTGTAGCTATGACAAGCTTGGCAGAGTGGACCTTGGGTTTGCATGGCACCTGGGGACAGTGGCTAACCCTGGAAAAGATGAACAGCCTGCGGTCCAGCCCAAGACTTTTTCTGGGGATCTCAAGCCCCCTCCCAGATATCTCCTCTCCCACTCTCTGGGGATGAGAAATGGAAGAGCCAGTGCTCCACAGAACCCCTCTGTCCATTGAGGCGATCTGGAGTTTCTGGGGGAAGAAAGAAGTCGTCAGGGCTGCAGGCTGAGTCAGGGCTACATTCCTCCTCCGGCCCAAACTGCGGAAGTGGGCACTGGGCCAGATAATCAGAACCTGAGATTGAAGAGGAAAGAAGTGGGGTGGGGGTGGGGCGAGAAGGGTGAGATCCCAGAGAAGAGACTGAGGGGGCCCTAGGTCTAGGCTTTGAGGTTCTGTATGGAGATAGAAAGAGGGTATTGGACCCACTGTCCCTGGGGTGCAGGGTAAGGGGGCTGATGGATCAGATTCAGGAACGTCGGCCAGCTTGGGGGGAGCACCTCTTCAAAGCTTGTTAGCGTTCCCATTTCCCTCCTTCTCTAGCCCCCCAAGTGCCGCTACTGTCTCCAGATAAGACCTGGTAACTTGGCCCCCAGCCGGGCTCCTATGGAAACTGGCTGTGCTAATGGATCCAGGGAGGAGGCTGGAACCCCAGGACCTGGGTAATAAGGACCAGCTTCCCCAACCCCAGGGCCATTCTTGCTGCAGACAAAGCCCAGGAGAGTGGGCCAGACTCCCCAGAGGAGAATCAGAGCTGCAGGGGGATTTGTGCAGAATAAGGGTGGGCCCCAGGAGCCCAGATTCCTGTTCCCTGCCCCCATCCTCCCATCTTGAGCAGGCAGGGAATTAAGAAGGGATACAAGAGTTCAGAGTCTGGCCCCTTCACCAGGCTAGGGCCTTGTCCTTCCAGTGACCCCACCAACCAACCCCTCCTTATAGTAGGGCTGGAGACATGGGCGGGTAGGGGAGGCCCCAGACTGACCTAGCCCTAATGGCTTTCCCTGGGCAGCATGAACAAAATGGGAAAAAGATGTGTGAGGTGGGAAGCTCTGATTTCCTTTCCCCTGCGGGCGCCAGCTCTGGAAAATGTTAGCTGTCAAAGAGAGACTGTATAGTCCCCCTGCCTCCCTCAACCCAGTACCCCTTCACCCCTCCCCATCCACCAACACCCGCCTCCCACTGCCTGCCCAGATTCCCAGGGGGCACCGGGCTGGCTCGTGCCTGTGAATTTCAGTTCACTAGGCTGAGGAAGCACACTCTCTGGATGAAGTCCCCATCTCTCCCTGCCTGCATCTTCTCCACCAACCTGGGAAAGACATCCAGATAGGAGCTTTGGCACTTGGGGATCCTCAAGGACATATCCCTGGGGGGTCAAAAGAGCCAGCAGATCCTGGATTTCACAACTGCCAACCTCCTCACCATGGTCTCACGCCTCTTGAATCCCAGTGCTCTGTGACTGTTGGCTACACATTTCCAGGTTTCCAGATGATCTGGATTTCTTGTTAGCCTTCCAGCTGAGCTTGCAGTATCTGGCATAGAGAGGGTGCTATCCTGAGTCGAGGACACACAGGGTGTGCCTTTCTCCCTGACTGGGGGCAGTGTGGTCTCCGTGGGCCAAGTCTCCTCTGATGAGCTCCCAGACCCCCTGGTACTAGGTTCCTAGGAGTCCCAGGGAATTGACTCCAAAGCTGGGAGGAGGCAGTTCCTCCCTTGGAGTGGAGAGTGGGCATGGGGGTGGCTTCTAACCTAGCAGGAAGGCAACAGAACACTCTACCCTTGCTCTAGCCCAGGCTTCTTTGATCCGACCCCAGATCCACCCTCCCAGCCTTCAGGAAAACTTCCCAGACCTGCCCACTCTGCCAGCCCAGCCCAGCATCCCAGCCCCAGCCTGAGGCCTCCAGCTGCCAGGCTGGATTATCTGCCTCTGACTTCCCTTTGGTCCTGGGTGTGGGCTCCATCTCCTCCTCAGCTCTGAGGGCAGAGGCAGTCTGCCTTCTCCCTCCTTTGGTTATGGTTTGGATCCATCTCATGGAGTCTTTCCAAAGAAGGGACTGAGTAGGATTCCACAAGATAGAAGGGAGTGAAGGACCTGGACTTTCGGTGAAACTGCCTCTGGTCTGGGGATGCCAGACGGTTTAGGTTCCTGGTGTTGCATTGGGACAGGAGGGTCAGGGTCACGGGCAAGGGCCTCAGTGCCCAGGTCTGGGAGAAGAGTGGCTCTGAACCCACCACTGTGCAAGAACTTTCTCTGCGCTGCCTTGGGTCTGATTCCAAAGCTTCCACTTCAGAATGGAATCTGGTTAAGCCTGGGAGAGGATTAAGATGTGCTTGTCTTTCCATGCCAAATTCTTAAAAATATCTTCTTTCTCTCCCTCTCCCTCCACCCCCACATCTCTCCAAATCCTATGCATTATATACACTCTTTCAAAGAAAGCGCGGAGTTGATGGTATCCCTAAATAAGGCTAGGAGCCTCACATATTAAAGAAAGAAACAAAACCAGCAAAGTCAGCACAGTGAACCGGTAGGAGGGTAGAGAGCAGAGCGGAAAAAACATGTGCAGCAATTCCCAGAGACCAGGGGCTGGGGTGGCCAGAGCTCACCAGGACCCCTCCCTCAGCTCAGCAGTGCCACCAGATGTCACTCACCCATTTAGTCACTGCCTGGAGGAGATGGTACAACCCTGATTGTCCACCCAGAAACAGTGGCAAACCTCCACCCCTGACCACACTAGGGTCCCCTACTGGTGAGGGTGCGTGTACTTCCTGAGCTATCTGGTGGGTTAGTATGTACAGGAGCTTGGGTGAGAGTTGAAAGGCCAAAGATGCCAGTCTTGGCTTAAACATCCGTTCAGCATCAACCGCACAAGAGATTGTCCATGTGTGCAAAGTTAAGCAGTTTCAGACAAGTCTACTTACCACCTCATTGGCCTCAACTCCTGTCATCTCTTGCCTAGATTACAGCAAGAACCTCTGCTTTGGTTTTCTGTTCCCACTCTCTTCCAGTCACCGCAGCCAGGGGGAGTCCTTTAAATCCTGAGTCAGTTCACACCATTGTTCACAACCCTGCACTGGGGCCCATTTCATGCAGATGTTAAGTCCCAGTCCTTACAATGGCCTACAAGCGTCTGTATTATGGGCCTATATCTCCCCCTGCTCACTGACCCCCCAGCCCCTACCCCCTTCCCCTTGGCTTCCCCTGTTCCAGCCTTGCTGCTCCCTAAATATATCAAGCATCACTCCCGCCTTTGCACTGATCTCTTTCTCTGGAATATTCTTCCCCCAGATATTTACTTGACTTGCTCCTTCACTTCTTTCAGGTCTTCTCAAATGTCACTTCCTCAAAGATGCCTTCTCTAAACAAACCATCTAAAATTTTATGTACACATATCTGCCTTATCCCCTTACTTTTCTTCGTATTACTCATCACCCCCACTACAAGGGAGGTCCGTGCAGACTTCACTGGCCTACAACAGCACCTGGTTTGTGCTCAGTAAATATTTCTTGAACAAATGGATGAAAAGTGAATGACTTCAGCCAAAAGCAATGACTCCTGAAAAAATATCTGTCTTTCATTAGTACACTTGTTCTTGATTTAATCATTTATTTAACTGTGCTTGAAGATTGAAGGCAGGAGGAGAAGGGGACGACAGAGGATGAGATGGTTGGATGGCATCACCGACTCAATGGACATGAGTTTGGGTAAACTGTGGAAGTTGGTGATGGACAGGGAGGCCTGGTGTGCTGCGGTCCATGGGGTTGCAAAGAGTCGGACATGACTGACTGACTGAACTGAACTCATAGGTGCATGAAAGAGGTACTCTGATAAAAATCAGGTCTGAAAATGAGAGGGATACAGCCGTTCGGGAGCCCATGCCCACTGGCTTGGAGAGTTCAGAATTCTTCATGCTTCTCCATGCCTCAGCTGTCCTCTTAGAAATCCTGACCCAGCTCATTAAATCACACGACCCAGCTCACCGTGTGTTTATTACATCTTCAACTCCTTGTTTGCAGCATCTGTCTGCCTCAGGTCCCTGACGATCTAGCTCAAGCTCCCCATCCTCCTGTTTCTAGTCCTGAGGCTGGGGAGTTCCCTGGTGGTCCAGTGGTTAAGACTCCGGGCTTCCACTGCAGAGCACATGGGTTCCATGCCTAATCGGGGAACTAAGATCCCCACACGCTGTGTGGCACAACCCCCCAACCTCTCCCCCCACTATATATATATATGAAATCCTGCGGGCCCCCTGGGGGCTTCCAGCACTTACTCAACGGGTCAGCATCTCAGGTCCTTGACTCCATCAACCTCATCTCCATCTCGGTGCAGTCACTCACCTCGGGGACCACACACTGTCAGCTGTGAGCATTTAAACCCTTCACTTCTCTGTTTGGGTTGCTGAATGATGCTAGGAGAAAAATGTGACAAGCAGTCTGCAGGGGCCCTGCAAACTCCGTCTCTGACCTCCGTCAGGAACGCTGCCGTGGCTCAGAGGCCCTTCCTTGTATTCTGTCAGCTCACTGTCCTGTCTCCTTAGTGGGTGCTCCACATTATCTTTATTCTAAGTTTCTGTCCCTTGGCTTCCCCCTCATACTCAGCCGATCACTCTGCCTCCAATTTAATGAGCAAGCAAGGTCACCAGATCCTAATCACCTTATTCCACCATCATCCCAAGCCATCTCCAAGAATTACCTTGCAGTCAAGTGGTTAGGACTCTGCGCTCTTAACACCAAGGGCCTGGGTTCAGTCCCTGGTCAGGGAACTAGGACTGCACAAGCTGCCACGTGGCCAAAAAGCACCCAACAAAACAAAACAAAAAACCAACCATCTCCATCTGCCATCTGCCTTACCCTTTCCTCTTTCCTTTCTGACCCAGCAGACAAGGAATCCTGATAGCTGGCCAAGGCTAAGCTTGGCATCCCTCCCCTCTACTCTTTCAGGAGCCACCACAGCTTAATTCACCTGCCCGTTCGCGAGCCAAGTTACCCTCTGCTGGCTTTGTCTATTGGCACCTTCAGACTTCACGCTCCGACAGCAACCCTCATCTGCTTCTCTTCAGAGCCAAGAAACAACAGCCCACAGTCACTCCTCTCCTCCTCGCCTCCAGTTTATTCTCCAGCCCACCTCAGCTGAGCTTCTGCTGCCCTCTTCAGACATTGCTCAGATGAAGAGCACCAGATTGCTACAAAACAGACCCTTTCGATTGCTCTTAGCGGACTGGCTGTCCATGCTGTTAATGCTACCTCCTCCCTCCTGGGGGGAGTCTCCTTAGCTGTCCTCTTACCTGATGGTCCTCTCTCAGACCTCTCTTCCTCCAGCAGCTTATAAGGATGGGTACTTCCTGAGACTCTGATTTTGACCTGCTCTTTATATACCTTTATATATAAAGGCTTCAGTCCAATCCAAGGCTTCTGTCTCACTGTTATACTCTTGTCTCTTACATTTTAGTTTCCAGCCCCAGATCTCATTTACTCTGCTGAACTCCAGTCTGGTACATCCAGCTGCTGGCTGGACATCTACACCTGGGTATCTTCAAGAAGCTCAAAGTCAACCCAATCAATACCTGTCATCTTCCTCAAAAACCTGCTCTCCTGCCCACTATATACTGTCTTGATTAATGGCATCACTGCTGTCTATTTACTGTAGTTCAGAAATATCAAGGCAACCTTTAATCCCCTTGCTCTGATCTCTAAGTTTTATCGATTCTACCTCCTCAGTGATGCTCATATGCAGCTTCCCACTTCATTAATTCAGGACTACATCATTGCTCATCAGATTACTCAAACAGAAGAACTCATGTTCTGGCCCTACTCCAATCCTGCTTCCATTTGGCTGCCAGCATTGTTGTCCTAAAACCAAAATCTGATCACATCACTCCCCTATTTTAAATTCTTCAGTGACTCTAGACAGTACTTGCCATAGGGCACTGATGTTAGTTTACTGGTCTCTCTTCTTCAGATCACTGTAAGCAACTGGGGGCACATGCCATTTCTCTGTGCCTAGCACAATGCCTGGCACACAGCAAGCATTTAATAAACATTTGAGTGGCAGGATTCCAGCCTCATCAGATGCTGCCTGGCTGTGTTACCAACCAAGTCGGAGAGTGGTTAAGAGCTGAGGCTCCAGACAGACAGACCTGGCAGGTCTGAGTGCCAGCACTGCCAACTTCCAGCTATTTAGCCTAGGGAAGTTTTCTTACTTTTTGTTAGCCTCAGTTTCCTCAACTGTCCAATTGGAATACTACCGTCTCCCTTACAGAGAATAGGACCATGCTCCTAAAGGACTCAGCACAGTACCTGACACAGAGAAGCACTCAATGGTTGCCATTATTATTATGAATGATAGCAACCATCAGCTAGACTTCCAAGTTAGAAAAGAATCCCAGGATTTAAACGCTAGAACCACTGAGGCTCCCAAGAAGCAAACTGATTTACCAGCACAAATGGAGTAAGTGGCAAAATCAAAATTGATGCCTATTATCTACACAGCAATAAAATGCTTTTCTGCTATCAACTGTTTGGTGGACTTGCCCTATGTTACGGAGTAAACCAAAGTGCACTGTGAACAATACACAGACTGTAATGCAGGATATTCATAAATGCACTTGGCATAGTGTACTTGCACACATGGAAATTTGTGTCTCTAAACTTGGACTTGGGCTAATGTGCCTTGGGGCAAGTTCATAATTATAGTACTGTTCATCTTTCCTACTGTCAGCTGTAATCATCTGTTAAACGAGGAATCAAATGATTCCTTGTTAGAGTTTTGATTCAATCAGTTTTGTTGTTTGGCTGTACCACCACGTGGCTTGTGGGATCTGTTTCCTGACCCGGGATTGAACCTGGGCCCTCTACAGTGAGACTATGGAACCCTAACCACTGGGTTCCCAAGGAATTCCCTCAATCAGCGGCTTTTAAGGGTAGAGAGAATGGCAGCACTATGACCTGAAATTTCAAAATACACTTCCCCTTCCAAGAATCACTTTACTATATGAAGTTTTAAAAGATCAGTATGTTTGGCGGGATATACTTCTCACACTCTTTTGCCCTTTATCATTCTCACCTGCAGAAGGGGGTTCAGCATTAGAAAATACCAAGACATGGAAACAGTATTATATCACAAGAACATTTGTTTTATTGTGCATATGCTCCACTCTAAAGGGCCTCAAACCTAAGGCAAACCAGGACTTGCTGATTGGTATTTAGGTAGAAATCTGCAATGGAGCTTATCTGTCATCAACTGGATGAAGCCTGCGAACAAAGGGGCAGAGAAAGAAGGGGATTAAAGTACAAGGATCCCCAGGCACCCTGCAGGGTGAGCTGGGCTCTGACCAGGAAGTATGATATGAGAAAAGAGTAAGAAAATGGTTGCAAGATCCTCTGGTCTCCAGGTTCTTTTTGGTGAGCAAAAGTGAGACTTAGCCGTTCCCAATGCTGGACTGAGGATGCCTGAGTGGGGGGAGGGGGGTGAAGTAGAGCATAAAAGCCAACTGCAACTAGAGATTATCATACTAAGTGAAGTAAGTCAATAAGAGAAAGACAAATACCATATGATATCACTTATATGTGGAATCTAAAATATGACACAAATGAACTTATCTGTGAAACAGAAACAGACTCACAGAGAACAGACACATGGTTGCCAAGGAGAGAGGTGGGGAGGGATGGATTGGGAGTGTGGGGTTAGCAGATGCAAACTATTATATATAGAATGAACAAACAAGGTCCTACTATATAGCATAGGGAGCTATATTCAACATCATATGATAAATCACAATGGAAAATAACATGAAAAAGACTATATGATTGTTATATATAACTGAGTCACTTTGTTGTACATCAGAAACAATATTGTAAATCAACAGTATACTTCATAAAATAAATTACAAAGCCAGGTACCCTAAAACCTGAACTCAAAGGAGAATTTTCCACTTAGTTTCCAGTTTCCTGATTGCAATGTAATTAAGACTCACCTTCACTTCAATTAAGACTTGTAACCCCAGTTTTTGGTGTGGCCTTCCTACATTATTCCCACTTAGAGGTGTGTGAGAACGCCTAGCGCCTCTTTGTGAAGTGTCATGGACATTGCTTATGTTGGGTTCAACAGGAACCAACTTGCTCAGAGCTCAACAGCTGCCTGTTCAAGCAGATGCGGCAGTGCAGGACACAGCAGCAAGACCACGTCCGCGGTCTCACGTGGCTGCAGCAAATTCCCTTCTCGAGGCAGCCACACTGTGACTCTGGCCTCTGGAGCCAAAATAGCCACTCAAGAGGGCACGAGTCTCAGTGTATACATGGAGTCTGCATTCTCTCAAGACAGAGTGCAGACAGTGATCCCAGCCACAAGGTCAGACCTGTGACTCACTTTCCCAACATCAGGGTGTGTACCACCAAGGAAGAGCTGGCAGGAGCAACCAGGATGGCGTCACCGAGCACCCTTTCTCCCCAGCTCCGTCCCTCCCACATGCCCACTCTGAGTCACCCTCCTGGTCACATACCCTGTGTGAGGGTGTCTGCACGGCTTGAAGTGTCATTTTAGGTGTGCTTGTTGATTAGCGGCAGGGACGAGAAGGCAACAGAGCTCATGGGCTACTACAAAGGCTTGGTCGGTGCTTCCTGATGACTTCCAGCAAACCAGGGTCCATTCAGTGTCATCCACAGAGACCCTAACTCCCCAACAGAATTACAGCTCTAAGGAGTCTGTGACAAAGCTATTTAATGTGAAGTTATAAAGAAAACACCACACAACTGTTTTTCCTTATAAAAAATTTATCAAGGGAATAATTTGTGTTTTCAGAGGCTTGGTTTAGCAAAGTAAAAGACTAAAACTCATTGAAACACTTTATAATTCTTCTTTAACCTAGCAAGTGGGGTTTAAATTAAATAAATTTCTCTATCACTTTAGGAGACTGCTTTCCTAAATCAGAAAAACTGATTTCCAAGTCTTCTCTTACCTCTACTGCCCATAACCCTAAGGAGAACTAAACCTCACCAGGAATGGCTCCTCTGGAATCAAGGTGGAAAGAACAGGTGGATATATCCCAACACAAACCAGATGTAGACTCTGAGCAGAAAGCAGAGTCTGAGAGATGCATTGTGATCACACAAATTATCATCCAACAGGATACTTCTGAGAGTGAAAGAGGGTGCTGTTAATTGCTTGAAAGGAAAGGCATAAAATGAGACACATGACCACCAGAGTGATAAGGCAGTTTGGGAAAAGACATTTCCTGGTTTGCCGTGCCCTTTGAAAGTCAAAAGACTTTCCCAGAAGCAAAGCACCTTGGGACACATGGTTAGCACCATTTAAGAGGTAAACGGCCTAGGGCTGGGTTCTGACATGGAGGCGTCCTCCTTCCATGGAACAGTTAACCAGACACACAACAGAACACCTGAAGTGAAATTTCAATGGATGTTAAGTCCGGGGTGCAGCCTCCCTCTCCCCAGAAACCCTAGCTTCCAAAGATGTGGGGCTGGTGGAGCTGTCCATTGGCCCACTGCCCTGCTCTCCTGGGCGTGATGCTATTTCTGCCTGCCCGCGTCACCAGTGTCCCCACTGGCACTAGTCTTTAGGGGGATTCTGGGCCAGGTGCTGTTCCCATTCAACTTCAACCAACTTGTACAGCTCCATCGTGGCCTGAGCATCTTCCACTGAGGAATGTCCGCTTTTCCCAGCCTGAACAAGGGAGGAAGAAAAGAGCATGAGGCTACAAGAGACTGTTTCCTCCCTTCCCAACTGGTTCTCTCCAACCTCAATGATGCTCCTCCTTCTGTAGTTAGCAGGCGACAAAGGCAGACCTCTGGTGGGGCCCCGCTCATCATCTAATTTCAGGGGTCCAACTCCTATACTACTGTCTGCCTCAGTCCTTTCTGTGCCCACAAGTACACACCATGTTGTTCTACACTCTTCTGCAGAAGCAGAACAGACCAGATCATAGACAGACATTCTGAGTCTTCCATCTTCCCTAGTTCCTTAAGTAATCTATGAATGACATGTGTCTATACCCTCATGCCAGGCAGACCACCCCCTCTTTGACTGTCAAACATATGAAATACTAAGAGGCCCTTGAAGCCTCTATATGGTAATTTAGGCCACCACAACTACCTGCTTCCCACTTTTCTTACTTAGGGTTTTAACCCCACTTTCAGGCTTTTTTCCTTTTCCAAGTACCCCGTGGAACACTCTGGGAGGCAGGAAACAAGAACTGTTATGCCTAAGTAGAGATGGACCTCTCTGCCCAAAGCTCTTCCCATCAGAGCATCTCCCCCTGGATCGCTCTACAATCAGAGGAATCTGAGCGTCAGAGCCTGGAGAGAGAGGGCAGGCGAGCCTTTCTTGTGCAAGCCAGGGGTCTGACAGCATTTGGGGAAACGTTACCTGGATGTCCCGGTTCAACAGCTTCTTGGTGAGACTCTTCAGAGACATGGTGGCATTCTCTGGGCAGTCAGCCTTACGGTTGAGGAGGGGGATATGAGAGGTGTCTCGGGTGAGGGGCTTGGGATGAACATACTGAAGGGCTTTGAAGTCATTGTGGATGGCATGCCCCACCACTATCTTCCCTGTAAGAATCTTCAAGATCTGAAACAGACATGGAAGAGGAGGTGGTGAGGAGCACTATTCATAGATGCAGTCTCTGCATTCTACAAGCCCAACACACCTGAGAGTCCTTCTAGGCTCTTTTCACCACTTGCTCACCTGCCTCATCCTTGAAATGACTTCTCCCACAAGTTTTCTTTCACCTGAAATCCATCTCCTCTCCCCGAGGTAAAAGCAAGCATTTTTAATGGTGTAACCCTGTTTGGATGTACCTAGCCAGTGGTTCCTTATTGTTGCATTAATTTCTGCCTCAATGTGATGTTCATGTAATTACCTAGTTCAGTCCTGGCTTGATACCTGAAGTTCTTTAACCATGATAATTGTTACGTTGGCCTTAGATACAGGCTGGGACAAATACTGTAAAAATGGGCTCCAGGGAGGTAATGGAAGTCCCAAATTATATGCAAATTGATATGCATATGTTTCTGTGTTTGTTTTTTGGGAGGGAATTGATGGCTTTCATCAGACTCTCAAAGGGCCTACAAGCTATAAAAAATTAAAAATTGGGAATTAAGAATCGGCAGTCCAGTGGTTAAGACTCAGCACTCTCCCTGCCAGGGGGACCAGATTTGATCCCTGGGTCCGGAACAAAGATCTCACAAGCCTCGAGGTATGCCCCACCCTCTAAAAAAGAAAAAGACACACTTCCAAGGAGGACAACTAAAGAATATGCCACGAACTCTGAGGGCCATTACCAAAATGGGGTTCCAAACAGATTGTGAAAGAGTTAACAGGCCTGGAATCAATGCCTGGCCTCCCAATGGGACCCCTTGGAAGGGTAGACTCATCTGAATGTACCTTAGTCTCATACCCCGGTTGGGCAGTGATTTTTATGATAAAAACCAGATATAGTCTAATCAATTTGGTATTTAGTTGCCCCTACAGTTTAACTGTAGGACCACTAACATCTTTACTTCGCATTAATTCCGACACACAGCCTTCACTAAAGCTAAGTGGATGTGCCGTTTCAGATCCACCCGATCGTCTGACTCTCCTGAGCCTTTGTTCAGCTACGCCCCTGCGGGTGCACAGGATGTTCTTCGACCCTTCATGTTCTTTCTAAAATCCAGCTGTTCTACCTCTGATGAAATTCCTCCAATTGACTGCTCTGGCATATGAGAATTACTGGAACAGTGTGTCTAGACAAGACAAAGACTGTGGAGCTGAAATTACAAAGTGGACCAAGGGTGCCCTCTGGAGGCCTTCCAAGACCAGCAGGCTCCGTTCCCCTTCCCCTCTATTAGTTCATCCTCCTTTCCTGTTCATTCAGCATGCCTCCAGTTTTCAGCATAGAGCTTACAGTGGCTAGGATTGCTCAGTGAATGAGAACCCAACATATCAGCCCTGTGTCTTTTACCCCCTTCATTGCAGGCTGCCTGTTCCAGTTATCCACCAACTTTCTATACTGCCACGGGCCACTTCTTGCTTGGGAAGCGCTCTCCACCTCTCTGTTCTCAGCCCTAGCCCCACCTCTACAAGGTATTCTCAAATTGAGCCCTTTCCCCCTGGCACTCATGCCTGCTACTCTGTCCATCACAGGTTGCTCTTTTTCTAGCAGAGTCCCAATTATTCAGATGAGGATTCCACTTGGGATCTAAAACAGATCTAATACAGTTTATTACACCAGCTACTTGTAAGTTTCCAGGTTCTTACCACTCTTCATCCCAAAAGAAAAGCTTTCTTTATCTGCTACTCCATACACTCCAACCCTCCCTCCACAATCCTTTGGTGCCTTCCCAGAGTGATATCCTGTGCTGAAAAATCATTTGGACTTCGTCCCATCTGCTTTGCTGCTACCACCATCCCTCATGCCTCTTACCTGGTTCCGAGCAATCTTGAAGGGTGTAGCATTTACCATGTGCTGCTTCCGGATACCACTCCATCTGGTCCGGTAGTCCACAATGTGGCAGGGGGGGAGGATGTACTCATCATAAAGCACATCTCCGTCGTAGTTGACAATGCTACATCGAGCCAAGGAACTGACATGCCCCTTGGGTCCAGTACCCACCATCTCACAGTCAATTGCCACCATCTTCCCAGGTATCTTCTGGGATGCCCCAGAGTATTTACTCTCTGAATGTGTTTGGGTGGAGTTCTGTGGGCCATTCTTGGGTGGAGGATTCTTCTGGGAGCCCTTCTTCTGGGGGCAAGTTGGGTGGCTCTTAATCTTTGGTAGGGCGCTCTGGAACTCCCCCAGCAAATCTACTTTAGCCACAACAGAACCAGCCTTCTGTGAAGGGGCAGGGGTCAGCCAAGGCACTGCAGTTTTCTTGTCCAGGGACTGCTCTGACCCACTGCCGGAGGCAGCTGTTGTCTTCTTCTTTGGAAGGGGAGTGGCCTTCCAAGTGCCATCTACCCTGGGAGTTTCCCCTTTCTTTGAAGGTTCTGAGTGCAACTTAGGCACCTTGCTAGGGGGCTGCTTCTTCTTATTGAGGAAGCCTTTCCGTTCCAAGAGTCGCCGCTTCTTGACAAATTTTCGGTGCTTGGCATTTCCCTCTAATGCCTTTTTGGGGGGAGGCTCGCCAAAATCCAGATTGAGGAGTAAGGTAGACATGATGACACTGGATGGTGAGAGAACAGTTGGGAAGAACAGCTTACAGATGAGAGAAGGATAGAAGACTCATCTGCTGAATCCCACAGACCAGCATCTGGAGGTTTGCAGCATACCCTAGGGAAGAAAGTGATCCTGATAACAGAGACCATAGACTTGGGAATCAATAAGACCCATCTCTGCAGGACTTAAGAGAGAGGAAAGACATCAGAGTAACCTCTCAAATGTGAAATGACAGAAGGAGAACTTCATTCTGAACCAGGAAGCCTGGATTCTAGAAAGCTCCACAATTCACCAGCTGTATGGTATTAGGAAGGCCATGTCTCCTCTCTAGATCTCAGTCTCATTTATAAACTTAGGGGGTCGCAGGGCCAACTAGCTGTAACTGCGATCTACAACGCCAGAATAGGTGAACTCCATCATCTGCCCATGGAGGGAACGTCTAACTATGCTCAAAGGCAGTGACAGGTTTGGCAAAGTTGACCTCTGGATTACCCTAGCATCCCCACGCGGGCCCCACGAGTAGAGATCCATATTCAGGTACTCATCTCCCTCGTTTCCAGGTGGGGGAAATCTCCACATGTATCTCACTCAAATCTTTGTCTCACGAAAGGACTTTTGACAACACACATTGAGAGGGGAAGGAACCGAATCTAAGGGACTGCACACTGCCATCCACGCCGCGGAGCCGGCCTCGCACGCTCACTCACCTACCTCCTAGATGGGCCCGCTAAGACCGGAAGCGCCAGGAGCCGGATGCGGAAATTGGCGCGCGGCGGCGATGCCCGGGCCGGCAGGCCCGCGGGTTGGAACGCGCCGGAGGCCGGCGCCCGCGGACCCGCACGGCCCCTGCCTCCGGGAGCGAAGCCAGGGATTCTGAGTGTGTGGGCAGCGGTAGGGGCGGCGGAGGAGGGGGCGGTGTGGGTGGGGGCGGGGGCGGGATGCGCTCCCCGGCCCCTCTAGCCCCGTGGAGGTACAACTCGAAGGTGTGGGGAAGCCGCGACGAACGGGAACTGCAACGAGCGTGACCCCCCACCCCCCGGCCTCACTTCCGGAGAGGAGAGAAGTGTACGGGAAGGGGCGGGATCTGGAGGCGGGACCTGGGATATGGCCCGCCCCTATTCGTGAGCTGGGCACTGCGCCACGCCTCTATGGCGTCACTGCGCTGGCACCCCCGCCCCGCTAGTCTCAGACGTAGACACCTTGGCGCTGTGAGACGCCGCGACCTGTGACGTCAGGAGCGCGCCTGAAGTCTTTAACCCGAGCCTGGAATCCAGGAAAGGCAGCATCGGGGAACAGATTCCCAACACTTTTTCTTCTGAGACCACCTGAAGTGCTGAACCCAGCCCGGATCCCGGACCCGCGTGGTCCTAACCTTGGTTCTCTTCTCATTGCTTTCTCGCTCCCCGCGCCACCGTTTGGGCCCCGGAATGCCCGGGGTCTCCGCCCGGCGCCTCTCTCACGAAGAGAGGAGACAGCTAGCGGTGAACCTCACCCGGGTCGTGACGCTCTACCGTTCCATCCTGGACGCCTACATCATCGTGAGGCCACAGGGATGTGGGTGGGGTGCTCCTCGTTGTGTGATTGGCTACCTAGCCACGACTAGGGGAGAATCTGGAGAGTTAGCGTCTGATCTTTTTTTTCTAATAGGTTTTTTCAGTCTTTTGTCTGTACAAGAAAGGGTTAAAGCTGGGCAGAACACCCGATTCTTTTTTTTCCCTGATGACCTAAATATCAATATTTCTAGCATCTAGGTTGTTTTTCTAACCTTCTCGTGTCCGGAGTAATAAAGCGCATGGACATTTGAGCCATGCTGCTGCGGCAGTGTTGAACTATCCCAGGAACATGTGAGGTGTTTTCAAGAACACACATGTTCGTTCATTCAGGTTTTGAATAAATTCCTGGTTTTTCCGTGTAATGGACAATTCCAACTTGGAAGTTGACAGAGTCCGACTAGAATCCCGCCTTCCCTATCGTGTTAACTAACATTAGGCATAAAAAATTTTTTTCAAAAAAAAAAAAAATTCCTCCTAGCCCCAGGTTCTCAGCTGTAAAATGGATCCCGTTTTGAAGGATCATTGTGAAGAATAAATGAGATGATGTATAAATGCCACCAGCATCCACTGAATTATTCATTTCCCAAACCCAGAAGCCATCCTTGATTCAGGTTTTTCTGATTCAGTTCTTTCAACAAGTCTGTTGATTCAACCTCCAGAATAGATACCAAACTCACCCATGTGTCTCCATTGACACTGCTACCACCCTAGGCCAAGCCAACATTATCTCTCTTCTGGTCTACTTCCTGATTTCTGTATTTGCTTCCTCCCTTCCATACCCAGTTCTTCACAAAACAGGCAGACTGTCTAAAAATGTAAATCTGATCGTGACATTTCTTGCTTCCTAGATACTCTGGGATTTCCCAGGTGGCACTAGTGGTAAAGAATTTGCCTGCCAATGCAGGAGACCCAAGAGACGTGGTTCAATTCCTGGGTTGACAAGATCCCCTGGAGTAGGAAATGGCAACCCATTCCAGTATTCTTGCCTGGATCCTAAGTATAGGTAGTGGTAACTACCATTACCTACAAGCTCCCTTTTAAACCGGATCACATTTCATTCTCTCCCACATTCACTATACTACATCTACACTGGCCTGATCAGGGCCTTTGCACTTACTGATCTGCCTGGAAGGTTTTTCTCAATAGAAAGGCAATTGAGTAGGGTGGTTAAGGGCAAAACTCTAGGGTTGAATTGGTTTCAGATTCCAGCTGTACTACTTACTAGCTTCTTGACTGGGACAGATTAATGAAATGCATTAACATATATAAAATGTTTCAGACAGTATCTGACATATTAAAGTATTCTGTGTTTGCTACTACCTGAATTTTTAAAAAGTTGAGATAGAATTGACATGTAACATTTTAGTTTCAGGTGTGTAACTATTTGTATATATTATGAAATAATTGTTGTTCTGTGGCTAAGTTGTGTCTGATTCTTTGTGACCCCATGGACTGCAGCACACCAGGCTTCCCTGTCCACCACTGTCTCCCAGAGTTTGTTCAAATTCATGTCTGTTGACTCAGTGATGCTATCTAACCATCTCCTGCATCAGTTAATATACATCACTGTACATAGTTAATTTTTTTCTTATGATGAGAACTTTTAAGATCTACTCTCAGCAACTTTCAGACATACAATATAGTATTATTTACAACAGTCACCATACTATACATCTCCATGATATTTACATTGTAACTGGAGGTTTGTACTTTTTGACTTTCCTCACCTATTTTACTTAGCCCCACCCCTGCCTCTGGGCAACCAATGCATGCAGTGTTTCACATGTGCTGTATTACTCTATCTAAAAGTACACTCTCAAACTCTCCATTATGTTACTGTCTCATTAGTGTTTTATTGTCTACGTGACACTTGATGTTACTTGAAATAATTTCTTTAAATGTAAACTCTGCAAGAGCAGGGATCTTGTCTGTTTCATTGTTTGTATCCCCTGAGCTTAGGATAGAACTTGATACCTAAGCAAAGCTCCAGAATTTGTGTTGAACAAATAAATGAATAAAAATAAATTCTGGCAGGGAACCCCTGGTGGTCCAGTGGTTAGGACTTGGTGTTTTCACTGCAGAGAGCCCAGGTTCAGCCCCTGGTCAGGGAACTAGGAACCCACATGTCACATGTGGTGACCAAAAATAAAAACAAAAACAAACATTTTGGCATATATAATGTCCGGCATCTATGGTGTCTGGTGCATGTAACAGTAGGTTACTAGATGGTAACATACTAATAGTGTGTGTTAGTCACTGCTGTGTTAAGGAGGCAGGTGCAAAGCCACCATACATGCCCCTAAGTTCAGTTGAGTGGAGGACACACATATAAATAAGGGGGACATTTCTAAAAGAAGTGTGTCCAGAATGCAATTTGGGCTCAGGGAGGAGGGGAAGGTTAGAGCAGACTTCAGAGAAGTAACCAACGAGGAGAGGTTCCTGCTAGTAGCTGGTGGCCATGTGTTGTATGGGTAGGGAAGAATGGGAGGGGAAGTAGCCTGTTGATTGCTTCTCCCTTTCCCCTACAGGAATTTTTCACAGACAACCTATGGGGCACACTCCCTTGCTCGTGGCAGGAAGCACTGGATGGACTGAACCCGCCACAGCTGGCCACGCTGCTGCTGGGGATGCCCAGAGAAGGGGAAGTGGCCAGGTAATGGGCAAGAGGGACCCTGTGCTGGGGGACTCGGAGCTGAGCCCTGCAGGGAGCCATTGCTCAGTCTCACAAGGGCTTCCTGGGTTGTAAGCTGGCACACTCAGGATGCAATGGGACTATTCACAGGGGGCCTGGGCGGGCTATCTCAGGTACAGGTCGGTGTGGCCACTCACCCTGCTGGCCCTGAAGTCCACAGCCTATGCCCTGGCCTTTACCCGGACGCCTGGGTTTCAGACCCCCTCAGAGTTCCTGGAGAATCCCAGCCAGAGTTCCCGGCTGACAGCTCCATTCCGGAAACATGTCAGGCCCAAGAAGCAGCATGAGATTCGGAGGCTGGGAGAGGTGAGAAGATGGCTGGGGTACAGGTGGTATCTGGGGGCCTTGGGGACTCCTTAAGCCTAGGGGTTACTAAGGTTTGGGCACCTTTTATCACCTATAGGACCAGAGGCCCTAGAAGGTCCCTTCCCTGGCAAGTATATTATAATCCTATCTTGATCCTTTTGCTGGGTTGGTTGGTGGCTATAGTTGAATCACTGTCTTATTCTTGTTCTGATAATCTTCACAATCTGCTCCTGCTCATGGCGTCACAGCAGGGCTCTTGTTCTGTGGGGACTGAATCACTGTCCGGAGAGGAGCAAAGACAGTAGCCTGAGCCAGGGGTCACCACACCCTATTTAGGTCTCCATGTCTCTTGTCTCCTCCATGGCACCCCCTACCCGTCTTCCTCTGCCATCCTCAGCTCCTCTCCGCTCTCATTATGAGTGTTTGTCCTGGGAGCCAACACCCAATGGCCAGGGGACCTTTGTTCCCTCTCCTTTCAGTTGGTGAAGAAGCTGAGTGACCTCACAGGCTGCACCCAGGTTGTGGATGTAGGCTCAGGCCAGGTGAGCCAGACCCATAATAATCTGCTTTTATTTTTTGTGGGTTTTTTGTCATGGGGATAGAACAACTAGAAGGTGGGTTATCAGGCCACATGCCCAGAGGGGTAGGTAATAAGGGGCGCAGGAAGTAAGCTGTGCAGAATTTAAGCCTCTGGGGGCCTAGTACCCAAGTGTCCAAACCATAGGCAGGGATGGGGACTTTAGGGGACCCTGAACAGGGCCGTCTTTACCCCCCATCTCTTAACTCCAGGGCCATCTCTCCCGCTTCATGTCCCTGGGGCTGGGGCTGACGGTAAAGAGCATTGAAGGGGATCAGAGACTGGTGGAGAGAGCCCAGCGCCTAGACCAGGAGCTCCTACAGACTCTGGAGAAAGAGGAGAAGAGGAACCCAAAGGTAGACCAGCCCTTCCTGCAGCCAGGACCATGAGAGCAGGATCAACTTGGCTGAAACTGGGCACCAAGGCTGAACTCTCGCTTTTAAGTGTCTCAGCTCGAGATGGTGTGTCCCTGTTTCTGCTACCTCTTTCCCAAGATCCCTCCTTCACCAAAGCCTCATCTTAAAGGCACTTTCTAGTTAAAAAGTGCTTTCTACACTGCTTTGTCCCTTCTCACAGCCACCTGTACAAAGTGGCCAATCAGGTATCAGCCTTATTACAAATGAGGAAGCTTGGACTCAGAGCTGAAAAGATTTGCAGTTAGTAATGACAGACGCAGAATCCCATTTCCTCTGCCCCAGTTGCTCTCCCACCTTCCTCCGTGGGAAGGAACTCAGGACAGATCCCTTCCTGTGGCCTGAGGTGGCGCGAGGACAGGAAACAGGCCTCCCATCTGCCTTTGTTCTGTCCTACCTCCACAGGTGGTCCACACTGGCCCTCGTCACCCCCCACACCACGTGGTTAGGTGGGTAGACCCCACGGCCCTGTGCGAGGAGCTCCTGCTTCCACTGGAGACCTCACCGCAGAGCGGGGCCCGCCTGCTGCTGACGGGCCTCCACGCCTGTGGGGACCTGAGTGTCGCCTTGCTGAGGCACTTCTCCTGCTGCCCCGAGGTGGTGGCCCTGGCTTCAGTGGGCTGCTGCTACATGAAGCTGAGTGACCCTGGCGGCTACCCACTGAGTCAGTGGGTGGCCGGGCTGCCCGGCTGTGAACTTCCCTACAGGCTTCGGGAGGGGGCCTGCCATGCCCTGGAGGAATATGCTGAGCGGCTACAGAAAGCAGGCCCCAGCCTCCGAACCCACTGCTACCGCGCAGCACTGGAGACCGTCATCCGGGGTGCCCAGCCTGAGCTCCGGCGGCCAGGCGTGCAGGGGATTCCCAGGGTCCACGAGCTCAAGATTGAAGAGTGAGGCTGGGGGCCTGGGGGGGTGAGATGGGGGGCATCACCTACTGGGGGTATGATTCCCCTCCCACCCTCACTTGTTAGCATGTCCTAAAGAAAATCTAGATGTGCTGGGTTGGGGGAGGGGGTAGTGACTGAGTTCTGAGACAGCTTCACATTTTTTTAAAAGGTAGTTGTCACTCTTTTATCAAATTTTTGAAATGATAAAAATATGGCTAAATAATTGGACATGTGTGCGTGCTAAGTCACCTCATGTCTGACTTTTTGCAACGCTATGGACTGTAGCCCACCAGGCTCCTGTCCATGGGATTCTCCAGGCAAGAACACTGGAGTGGGTTGCCATGCCATCCTCCAGGGGATCTTCCTGACTCAGGGATTGAACCCCACGTCTCTTAAGTCTCCTGCACTGGCAGGCAGGTTCTTTACGACTAGCGCCACCTGGGAAGCCCAAATAATTAGACAGGTTTGTCTAAAAATAAATTTTTGGATTGATTTGCTATTGAACGGACAGTTCACAGCCAGAAAACTCTGTAAATAAAAATGCATCTTAAGGGACTTCTTTGGTGTTCCAGTGGCTTCAATGTAGGGGCCCTAGGTTTGATCCCTGGTCAGGAAACTAGATCCCACATGCCACAACCAAGACCCAGTACAGCCAAATAAATCTATACTTTTAAATGCCCTTAAAGTAGAAAAACAGAGCTGGAATTGAATTAGAAATGGACAGTTTGAATGGAGGAGTGGCTTTCTAAGCTGAGTGCTGTCTATGACTGACCCCACAGATACGTGCAGCGGGGGCTACAGCGGGTGGGGCTGGACCCCCACCTGCCACTGAATGTGTCTGCCCTTCGAGCTCACCAGGCCCAAGAGAACCGTGTGGTGGCCTTCTTCAGCCTAGCCCTACTGCTGGCCCCACTGGTGGAGACTCTGATTCTACTGGACCGGCTGCTCTACCTTCAGGAGCAAGGTGAGGGGGGCCACACCAGGGACCCAGGGCTAGAGGGGCTAGAGCTCTAGGGGTCTCCTTCAGGTCCCCGCCCCTACACCTGCTGGGACTTGGCCCATCACCATGGTGATTCTAGGGCCAACAGCTGTTTCAGCATCAGACTGGGGGAGGGAGGGCCTGTTAATGCAAATTCCTGGTGAATCTGGATGCCTATCACCATAAGATAGGTGATACATACCTGAGGTTCATCTTAAGCCAGCATCCCTACAATGTGCTGAGGCTTGCCTCCTCCCAAGTCAGCATCTTGGGCACTCATGTTCCTGGTAGAAAGCAGGGTTTCCTTAGATCCTCCTGGGCCTCTCCTATGCGGAGAGGAGCTGTGTGTACAGGTTAGGCAGGAAGTGGCTACGAGTTTGTTTCATTTCTCTCCTGAGTAGCCCTGCCTTTCTCACAGGCTTCCACGCTGAGCTCCTGCCAATCTTCAGTCCTGAACTCTCTCCAAGAAACCTGGTTCTGGTGGCCACCAAAGGGCCTCTAGGTGAGGCCTTCTCTCTTCTGGAGACTGAAGACAGCTGACGCAGCCAGAGGAAGGGCGCATCTCAGACCCCATCTGAAACTGCCAGGCACCACGATGGGAGGCAGTCTTCGCCACCTCAGCCAGAGAACCAGCATCCTGCATCCTCCCTGGCATCTGGGTTCTCTACAAACCAGCGTCATACCCTTTCTCTCCCTGTGTATGTTATATAATATTATGCAGAAGTTTATTTTCAACTTATTAAAAAAATTGAAATCTGTACTTGTCTACCATTTTATTAGGTATAAAGGACAGACCAGCACCCTCCCTACTGAATCCTGCTGAGGTTCTAATTTAGGTCTCATACTCCCAGTCCCTGCGGTCTTCCTAACAGGCAGCGCCCTATTATTCAGAGGTCTCTGTGAGGGGAAGCTTGCGCCCTTTGATCTCCATCCGAGAAATCTGCAGACCCTGCCCTGTGGGAGGACCCCCTTAAAATCGTTAACTTCCATCCAGGTTTTGTCATGACATCATGACAGACGCTCCCTCCCTCAGCCCCTGAAACAGGGGTCCAGGTGCAAGTCTTACCAGAAGACAGAGGACACAAGGCTCTTTATTAGCGTCTGAAGAAGAGGTGACCGCAACCTTCAAGGCTAAGACGAGGAGAGAAGTGGCTCCCCCAGATTCAATACCAATAGACCTTCTTGTGTCTCCGAGTCTCCTGGATTCCCATTGCCTCCATCACCTCCTCCTCCAATGTCTTTAGACGAGGCACATAGGTTTTTTCTAGAGCATCTTCTACTGATGTGTCTTTGGGGCCATCTGTTGAACCGGAGGAAGGAAGATGGGTGGGCTTCTTAACATCTCTTACTCCCACTCCCACTCTTTTTCCTGCCCCTCACCCAGCCTCACCAATCCATGTTTCAGGGATGATGCCATCAGCTCTGGGAACATCAGGTTTCGGGATGATCCTTCCTGATCTTGTGGACACTCGTACTCGCTCTCCTGCCTCAGTGAATCTCCACTCCACTTCAGTGGGCTTCCTAGTAGATAGAAGTGAGACCTCCAGGGAGCAGGTCTCCCTGCTATCTTCCAGCCCCAAAGTCACCATCTTATTTCTCTGCTACCCCTGGATTGGGGCTTCCTATAGGGGGTCATGTCCATGAGATGTCCCCTCTCAATTTCCAGCACATCCAACCCACCATTCCCTTTGGATAAATATGGTCAACAACTTGCCAGAAGAAGGCAGGAAACCCTCTGACCAGAGCCCCTTGTGCTTACCTGTCCATAGGATCCACAAGTTTGACTTGGTTGTGGAGCAAGGGTGCTTCGCTGGGGACCATGGTTCCCCGGAAACCCACAGTCTTGCCAACATAGCGGTAATGCTGTCCAAAAGAGCGGGGGAGGGTGGCTATCAGAAACCAAGGCATGTGAAGGCGGCTTGTCTACCGCAACTCAGAGCATTCAGTCCAAGGTGAGAAAAAGGTTCAGAGGTTCGGCTGTCGCACCATCCTCTCAGCCAGTCTCTGTCCTCCCCGTGCCGCTTTTAATAGATGGACGGATGGCACAGGCTTCCTGAGCATCACCACCCTCACTCTTTACTTACTGTATTCAGTCCCTCGACAACCACCCAGTTTCGCTGCCGGATAACTTGAACCACTTTGCCTTGCTTCCCGGCGTCCTTGCCTTCTAGGATCTCTACCTGTGGGAAGACAACGAGGGTAGGGAGGGAGATCCTTGCCCGGGGGCACTCCACCACCCAACCCTGTCTGAGACTCTCACCCTATCCCCACAGAACAGATGCCAGTCTTCCTCAGGGATGGGTTCCACAGCCACCCGGCGCCGCCTGGTCCCTGGAGGGTTCTTCCTTTTATCTGCCAAGGAGCCTGGGCGGCTCATCCCATAGCGGTAGTTGGGAGGCAGGGTGACCTTAGATGCCAAGGCCAGCAGAGCAGAGAGCCGCATGGCTGGAGGCTGTGAGAAGTCCCCTGGCAGCGAAAGACCCAGAAAGCTTCCTAGTCAGCTCTGAGGCAGACAGAAACAAGAGGGCAAAGCAACAAGGGAAGAAACATCTTTTTAAGCACCTATTCCATGGCTCAATGGACTTCATCCTACTGAATCCTCATAAGATACTATCTTCACTATTACAGATGATGATATAGACTCAGATAATTTAAGTGACTTGTCAACGGTCATAGTTACTATGTGGCAGAACTGGCATTCAAACCCACAGATACCTGACTTCAAAGTCCAAAAAAGTTCACTGAGGCCAGGACCATGTTATCTAGATCGCCCCTGAATCTAGAAGATCCTAGTAGGGTCAGGCACCTATTGTTTAGTCACTCAGTTGTGTCTGACTCTTGTGACCCCATGGATTGTAGCCGGCCAAGATCCTCTGTCCATGGGATTTCCCAGGTAAGAATACTGGAGTGGGTTGCCATTTCCTTCTCCAGGGGATCTTTCTGACCCAGGGATTGAACCCGAGTCTCCTGAATTGGCAGGTGGATTCTTTACCACTGAACCACCTGGGAAACCCTTGGCAAGTATTCGGTACTCAATAAAAAGTCTTTCAATAAAAAGTCATCTTTCAACAACAGCAAGATGTAAAGAAAACACTGGCATGAGTCCAAAAACAAGGCAATTATAGGGTAAGACAAACAGGCAGCAGAGATAAAAATTGGGATTAAGATGTCCCTATGTGCATGTACAGTTGCTCAGTCATGTCCAAACTCTTTGCAACCCCACAGACTGTAACCTGCCGGGCTCCCCTGGCCCTATAAGACTTCCAGTTCCTAATCTCAATCAGGAAACAATCACTTCCCCCTGAGATAGTTTCTTTTCTAAAGGAAAAAGATCCAGAGCAAGACTGTCGGATTACAGAGACCTACAATTTCAAACTAAGTATGAACTCTAAGCTTCCCAGTTCTTGAAGGAAAATGGACTAACCCAATGGGCACCTGTTACCTTCCAGTGGCCATGCTAAGTGCGTTCATGTGTCATCTCATTTAACCCCAAGGACAACTGACAAAGGAGGTACCACTAACCTTGCTCCATAGCTAAGAATGAAGCCTAATTCAAAGAACAATTAAAGTTCACTATGATGACATTAAAAGCTCTGGACTGGGTAGTCAGAGGACCTGAGATCTAGTCTCTGCTCCACCATCAACTCATTCTGGGACCCTTGTCTTCTGAGCTTCAGCTCCATTATCCATAAAATTTTACAGAGCTGTTTCTGTCATTCAAGTTACTTCTAATATTTTAAGAAAGCAAGACAGAATTATGTGGATAGTACTATTCTTTCTGGGTGAATTTAAAAATACATATTCTGACATAGGCATAAATATTTAGCAGAAGGAAACAGGGACCAACTAAAGTACCTGTTTTGGGGAAGAGGCAGTTTGAGAGGGCTGTTCCTTTCCAAAACATTTGCATTTTCTAACTACATACATTCAAAAATATATATCAACTGGTTTATCTGAATACTGAGATATTGGGTCATTTTTTTTCTCTATATTTCTCAATATGGTAAACAAAAGACCTAATACTATTTTTAATTAATGCTGGATGAAGCAGAGGCCACAGGACTGGAAAAGGTCAGTTTTCATTCCAATCCCAAAGAAAGGCAATGCCAAAGAATGCTCAAACTACCGCACAATTGCACTCATCTCACATGCTAGTAAAGTAACGCTCAAAATTCTCCAAGCCAGGCTTCAGCAATACATGAACTGTGAACTTCCAGATGTTCAAACTGGTTTTAGAAAAGGCAGAGGAACCAGAGATCAAATTGCCAACATTTCTTGGATCATCAAGAAAGCAAGAGAAAAAAAAAAAAAAAAAGAAAGCAAGAGAGTTCCAGAAAAACATCTATTTCTGCTTTATTGACTATGCCAAAGCCTTTGACTGTGTGGATCACAATCTAGTGTGGAAAATTCTGAAAGAGATGGGAATACCAGACCACCTGACCTGCCTCTTGAGAAACCTGTATGCAGGTCAGGAAGCAACAGTTAGAACTGGACATGGAACAACAGACTGGTTCCAAATCAGGAAAGGAGTACATCAAGGCTGTATATTGTCACCCTGCTTATTTAACTTTTATGCAGAGTACATCATGAGAAATGCTGGGCTGGATGAAGTACAAGCTGGAATCAAGATTGCCAGGAGAAATATCAATAACCTCAGATATGCAGATGACACTACCCTCATGGCAGAAAGTGAAGAAGAACTAAAGGGCCTCTTGATGAAAGTCAAAGAGGAGAGTGAAAAAGTTGGCTTAAAGCCTAACATTCAGAAAACTAAGATCATGGCATCTGGACCCATCACTTCATGGCAATTAGATGGGGAAACAGTGGAAGACTTTATTTTTTTGGGCTCCAAAATCACTGCAGATGGTGACTGCAGCCATGAAACTAAAAGACACTTACTCCTTGGAAGGAAAGTTATGACCAACCTAGACAGCATATTAAAAAGCAGAGACATTGCTTTGTCGACAAAGGTTCATCTAGGCAAGGCTATGGTTTTTCTAGTAGTCAGGTATGGATGTGAGAGTTGGACTATAAAGTAAGATGAGCTCAGAAGAATTGATGCTTTTGAACTGTGGTGTTGGAGAAGACTCCGGCAAGTCCCTTGGGCTGCAAGGAAATCCAACCATGCCAACCTAAAGGAAATCAGTCCTGGGTGTTCATCAGAAGGACTGATGTAGAAGCTGAAACTCCAATATTTTGGCCACTTGATGTGAAGAGCTGACTCATTTGAAAAGACCCTGATGTTGGGAAAGATTGAAGGCAGGAGGAGAAGGGGACGACAGAGGATGAGATGGTTAAATGGCGTCACTGACTCAATGGACATGAGTTTGGGTAAACTCTGGGGGTTGGTGATGGACAGGGAGGCCTAGCGTGCTACTGTTCGTGAGGTCTCAGAGTCAGACACGACTGAGCGACTGAACTGAACTGAAGTTAAGGGCCTCAGTGTTCGTTCATTCAAAATAAAAAAATGATTAGGGAGCACCACTATGTGACAGATCTAAGGTTAGGAACCTTACTATTCCTGGCATTTGATCGTCACACTGCTGTTTGGGGGAGGTTGACAAGAGACAAGGAAACCAAGGCCCTGAGAGCTGGTGACTTGACCGAGTTCACACAGCTTGATAGTAGCAGCGCGAATCTAAAGACCTGAGTCTCCTGCGTGATTGCCACAAGACGTCCCTTAGCCTCAGCCGTTCTAGATCTGAAGCTCAGAGAGGCGATCCCAGAAGCCAGTCCCCTTAGGTCTTTTCCTTCTTTCTCTCCAAGCCCTGGAGAGGCTGGTGCCCTTCCGCAGTGGGGCTTCCATTGCACGCTCTAGGTGAACTGTTGTGTAGGTAGTGACCCCAGCTCCAAAGACTGCTTCCACCGCCAGTCCCATCCTAGGTGCGGGTAATGATCAGCCCCCAGAGGTCTTCAGGACCCAGCCGCTCCGAGCTTCCGATGCTTGGAGACCCCAGACGAAGCAATTGAGCCATGCCGGGGCAAAGGACCTTCCCGTTCCCACCTCCCCGAACAGCCCAGAGGTGCCGAAACCTCTGGTTCACGAAATCCTCACCTCCGCTTCCCGCTGATCCGCCGGCCTCCGCGGGTCCCGTAGGCACGTGGGACCTACGCCCCACCCCAACTCCATCCCTCAGATTTCTGGGAACCGTAGTCTAATTGTACAATGGACGCTCAACAACGAATCTAGCCTCTCTGCATGCTGGGAGTTGTAGTCCACCGCCACGAAGCAAGCGGCAAGCAGGAAATTTGACCGGGTAGGAAATCGAGGAAGCGTAAGAGCACCGTGAAGCACGTCGGGAGTTGAAGGCAAAGTCGGATAGGCTGCGGCGCCAGGCACATTCCTGCACGTGCTCTACGTGGAGGCCGCTGGGAATTGTAGTTACCAGGGACCGTGGCTCCATTTTCTAGGTGATTGCGGCTTCTTCAAAGCAGAGAGCCTCCCCTTCTAGTGAGACCACAGTCAGTACTCTCTCCGCCCTCCCTTCTCTGCTGGAGGGGGCCAAGGCAGATGACCAAAGTGTCATAGGCTTTCTAAAGGGATGAAACCTGGGCCTTTCGGTGCCAGTGGATGAACTAGTCACAAAATGTCAGACTGGAAGAACCGAGAGAGGATGAAATCCAGCCATTCCACTTAATTCGGGAGTATTGGGAGGATTCCATGCTGTGCACCTCCTCATCCTTCAACAGTTATCAGTAGCAGGCATCCCTAGCTTTGCCCTTGAGCGTCCAAGTTGTTTCTACAACCAGACTCAACCCTCCCTCTCCTGGCCATTGTGAACCTACTTCTTGTGCAAACTTAAAAAAAACTTTCCCAGGTGCTTAGGGGGAAACTATGTTAAACTGGCTGGGCAGAACCAGAGTACTGGGCGCAGTATTCTGTGACTTTGCCCTCATGTGGAAATTTCATTGTTCAGTCTCAAGTCATGTCTGACTCTGCGACCCCATGGACTATAGCATGCCAGGATCCTCTATCCTCCATTATTTCCCAGAGTTTGCTCACATACATGTTCATTGAGTCAGTGATGCTACCTAAGCATCTCATACTCTGCCCTGCCCTTCTCCTTTTGCCGTCAATCCTTCCCAGCATCAGGGTCTTTTCCAATGAATAGTCAGGGTTGATTTCCTTTAGGATTGACTGGTTTGATCTCCAGACTCTCAAGAGTGAAATTCTATGTGAATTTTAGGTATTTCTAACAGACTGAGGATGGAGGAAGCTGGCACCCCTTACCTGAATCTGAGAAGTGAATTTGGAAACCATTTGTAGTCTCTTTCCCCACTCCCCTGCACCACCAGTTAAACCACACACCTCCAAAGAACCAGCCAAAATCCAATGTAGTAATCAATGGGTTTTATTTTCCTAGAACTGAAATCATCTACGGTTTTCAGAGCTAAAACTTCCAAAGCTACAGTCAGCAATTTTTCATCAGAGCCCAAGGGAGAGGGGCAAGGGTGAAAAAGACAAGAAACCAAAGAGGCAAAGAAACCACTAGAAAGAGGTTGGGAGAGGGCGATTATTTCCCTCTGGCCTCTCAGTGGGTTACAAATCGGATCTGGTGACAACACTGAGTGGACCAGGTCGGGGGTGTGTGGATGGGAAATGACATCAGCAGGAACACCAAAGCTCCAACTACAACAAGAAAAGTCATCAAGCCCCAAACAGAAGGAGAGCCTCCCAGTGCACCTCAGAAATGGGGGCAAGAGTGGGGGGCACACAAAGGGATGGGGGTCTTTAAAATTTTTTTTGTAATTTTCTTTTATTAAAAACATTTCCTAAAAAATGTGTCTTTTCCTTTATGTCTGGGTGATGTGTGTGACTATAGGCTGGCCTTGAGCACTGTGAGAAGAGGGAAAAGGGTAGCTAAGGGTCTCCCCAGGGCATCCCATCTCTCTCCTGAGATCTAAAGGGGGATGAATACTCTCAACACTCCCACCCAAGCTGGGTGAAGTCAGTCCTTCAGATCTCAGGTCCTTGACCCAAAGAACTTGGAAGACCCCAAATCTTTTGATGATAAACTGTAACTCCCATAACACCTGGGGTCTGCATAAGTGAGACAACTGGGCACTATCAATCAAAGATTTATGGAAGGGAGCGCCTCTCCCACTCCCCGCGCCCCCCACCGCCCCCCCACCCCAGCTGTCCCACTTTCCCTGAATCCAGGCAGCTGGGATAATAGGTGTGGGAGGAAGGGACAGGAGCTCAGGGAGATGTCATCCTCTTACCCAACCCCCCACCCCAATTTGAAGATTGCCCCTCCCAGACCCCAGAAGCCCACCCTGCTATTCATTCTCCATCCCTTCCATTCATAGCCCTGATCCCAGCCAATCTAGACATCTAGAATGCCCGGGGAAGGGGGCGAAGGGTGTCAGGAGATGGAAATAGCCGGTCCAGGCCCTAACAAGTACACTGGGAAACAACTCCAGGCAGGGAGGGACACAATAGCCTCATCTCATCCCACAGAGCAGAAGACATGGACCTGACTCAGGTCACAGGTGTGTGGGGACACTGAGGTGAGGGCCATGTGGCCTGCCCCATCGGGGTCAATCTCCAGGGTCTGAGCTCAGAAGGGGGGGAGTGAGTGGGAAAAGGAGAGTGGATTGGGGTGGGGAAGGGGTTCCCAGTTTGAAGGCCATGGCCAGTTTCCCCAGTAGCACCCAGACAGCAGCAGGAACGGGGCGGGGGCTCCTCTTGAAACATTGGTGGCTACAGGCTGCGGGGGAGGGTTGGAGGGGAGAAGGGTTAATGATGTGGCCTTGGCCTGGCCAGGCCCCAGCCAGCGCCTTCTCCTGGAGAGCCCCGCCCTGCCTCCCGAGAGGCTGACTGCTGCAAGCCCTCCTCCTCCTCTCAGCAGAGGGCTGGGCCCTCCCAGCCCGGCTGCCAAGGGGCAGGGGGCTCACTCACCTCTCGTGATCTCTCATCCCCGGGGCCTCCGAGTCTTCCTTGGCAGCCTCTTCCTCTTCTTCCTCCTCTTCTTCCTCCGGAGGAGGCCCCCTGCCAGAGCCGGGCTCAGACGGGGTACTGTTCTTCTCTGCCTCCAGTGGGAGGGGCCTCTCACCCTCCAAGGCGGCCCCCTCCTTCTCCTCGCCTTCAGGGTCTTCTGCTTCCTTAGGACGTTTGGGGGAGTCCTGCGCCGGATAGGCAGAGATGAGGGACGGCTGAGGCAAGGCAGGGAGAACGCCAGCCTCCCCCCCCTCCCCAGAGGGTCCTTCCCGGGCAGCCCAGCACTCTGCCAGCTCTACTGTCTCCTGCAGCCTATCTTCTCAGGAGGGACTGCCCCCCAGGACTAGGGGCTGAGTCTCTCAGACTGGACACTCCCTGAAAAAGCAGTAATTTCTCTCCTCAAGACTAGGAGCCTTGCTTCTGGGAGCCCAGGTAGAGGGCAGTTACCTCCAGCAGGTCCCCCGCTCTCCTCTTCAGCGCTCCCTTCTCGTTCTTCTCCTTGGTTGGCTCGTCAATGACTAGCTTCCCTTCCTCATCGCTGCTTCCCTCCGCGTTCCCCTTCTTGTCGCCGTCACCCTCAGTGGCTTCGGGCTCGGCTTCGGGCTCTTCCACACAGCTCTTTTTCTGGGAGGACTGCGGTGGAGACGGCGCAGGCTGAGTGGCACCAGCGGCTGCCGCGCAGGGCCCCCTCCCCAGACCCCTCCCTCGGCCACTCACTCCTTCCTTCGCCCGCCTCTCCCCCGCCCCCACCCAGGTGCCCAGTCTCACAAGTGATTTGAGACCCACCTCTGTCGGATTAGCCCCGGGGTAAACCCACTGGCCGGGCAGGCAGGGCTCTGTGCAGGAGGGGGGAGGGCTGGAGCAGGAGGCAAAACCTCGGGTCAACTTCTCCCAAAGGGAGCTGGGACCCTTTCCCCGCCAACCCCCGCCCCCCACCCTCCCGCCTCATCCTGCCCGGCTCACGAGCACCTCCTCCTGGAAGCCTTTGTGGAAAGAGTTAAGGCCACGTCTTCTATTGACTCTGGGCCCGCCGAAGGCCTGCCCCCACTTACCGCCTCGGTCCTGTTCTTGCCCCTCCCAGGCGCTGTCTAACAAGTGGCCCCTCACCACAGCTACATCGCACACCCATAGCCCCATGCCCTCTTGCAGGAAGCCCCCCACCCCTCACCCCATGAGCGCCTACTCTGAAAGCCCTGGTGTTGGTTTCTGAGTCCCCCTGTTCATGAAGACTAAGCATCACACGTGGGTCCTGTGTGATCACACCTATGGCCACACCTGCTTTCCGAAGAGGGGGGGGTGGTCTCTGGGGGCGGCCGGCAGCTCACCTGGTAGCCAGAAGCCTTGACGGTGGGGTTGTTCTCGATCTCCCACAGCCCCTCGCTGAACCCTTTCCTCTTGTTGGGCTTGCCAAACTTCTCCTTGGACTCCTCGTAAGGGAAGAGGTCTTTGGGGCCCAGGAATGCCCTGGTGAGAGATGGGAGACTGTGCTCTCGAGCCCCTCACTGCATTTGAGCTGTGCAACCCCACAGGCAAGGGGTGGTATCACCACCGCTCTTCCCCCCCAGCCGGCCCTCCCTACCACTTCTGCCCCCTCACTCACGTCTCGTGGGTCCCGAAAAAAAAGACTTGGTATTTGTTGGCTGTTGATTTCACGGCAGCCTCCGGCATCTCATCAATCTGAGAGCAAAATGAGGAAAAGGAGGATGAGCTGGAGTCCTATGGTCAAGAACTGGGGGCTAGAGGATAGGCTGCGGGGGCTGACCTCTAAGGCACATATGTGAAAATCAGACTGAGAGGGACCTAGGAGTTCACCAAGGGGGTTTCTAAACCATTTTAAGCAGTGGGACTTTGTTCAAAGGAAGTCAGGCACAAAAGGCCAGCAGAAATCCTCCCTCTCCTTCACGAACCAAACAGCATCCCTCAACAGATCCCGTCCAGAAGGCTCCACGTCTCTGCCATCACCCTGGCCGGTCCACCCACTGTCACGCCTCTGGCCTGGACGGAAACCACAGCCTCAATTCTTGGCTCACTACAACCCATTCTCCATGCTGCCACCAGAGGGAGCCTTTCCAAGCGCGGGTCTGAGCATTCTTTCTCCCTGCTAGTGGCTTTTCAGGATTCTAGGGACCACCCATTCACCATTATACATAATATCAAGGTCTGAATTCCAGTGCTGCCACTAGTATTTGTATGACCTTGGGCAACTTACAGAACCTCAGTTTTCTCATCTGTAAAATGGAGAGTGTCACAGTCCAAGGGCTGTAAGGCTTAAATGACCATAAAGTGGTCTGTCCCACGTATATGTCTGCTATCATCATCTTCTCCCAGAACACTGTCATCCTGCTCTCTGCTCCAGCCACACTGATCTCAGTCTTCTATACTCACTAACTCTTGATCAGCCTTCCGACCTCAGGCCCATCATCACTTCCTCCAGAAAGCTTCCCCATCTCTCCCAATCTGTTCGGTTTCCCAGATAAAACTCAGCGCGTCTCCTTCACAGTGCTTTTTACAATTCCAATATTAATGTCTATGTGGACTATACCTTCCCCAAGATGAGCGAAGTCTGTTCATGTGCCCAGCACAGTGCCTAGCACACAGTGGGTACACAACAGAGTCACTTGATGACTATGAAACAGACAAAAACAGACTGCTCTGACTGAAAGTGAAGAGGTGAGGCCAAGAGGCTGCCTATTTAGTATTACCCAGCAGTAACAGCTACCCCAAAGAATTCTGGGGAACTCTTTTTGAAAGTCGCATGATATAGACTCTCATTTTACAGACAAGGAAACTGAAGCTCAGAAAAGTGATTTACCCAAAATGACAGGACAAGTTAGGGAGGGCCAGATTTCAGAAACAGAGCTCCTGACTTGATCCTCTGCCTCAAATGTCCCTAGGGGGTGAGGGATGCTGTGATGGAGAAGGTGCAGAATGATGGAGACCAGGGAAATAGTGAGATGCAGTGGCCTACACAGCCTCTCCCCGATCAGGCCCTAGAAACCCAGGCCAAGCTGAGTTGGGAGAGGAGAACTACAACTCCCAGAAACACTTGCAGCGGCCCCAGCAGCCTGGCTTCCCGCCGGACAGAGGCCAGGTGGCCATGTTGACTGGGGCCCCAGGCGCAGATAGGAAAGAGAGAAAGGCCAAGGCAGTGATTAAACACTCAGAGAGTAGAACAGTGTGTCTGACTAGGGGCTTGGGGAGACAGGGAGGCTGGGTGGATGGAAATAAGCTGACACACACCCAGGAGAGGGGGTGGAAGCTGGGCAAGAGTCTGAGGGGCATCTTGCTCCAGACATGGAGTCTTCAGGCTCCTGAGCACCTCCCCCCTTGCCCTGTGGCCTCTGGGGACAGAGGTCCAGCCCCTCCCCCCCAGGAAGGCCCAGCAAACTGTGCCCTCCCCGCCACCCAGAGACACAGGGGTGTGAGAGCAGGGGGTGGAAAGGCATGCTGTCCCCCCACCCCAGCTCAATCCCCATCGCCATGACAACCCAACCCCGCCCCCAGGGCCACTCAGCAACCAGGAATGTGACTGCTCCTCCCCCCCCAGGCCCTCTCTCCAGATTGGGCAGGAGGGGACACTAACTCACACCCCACCCCCAAGCCTGGAGTCTGGCACCTGGGTCCCTGGCTGTGCCTGAAACCCCAGCCAGGGCTGAGGGCTGGGACCCTGCTCAGGAAGCCAGAGCTGGGGTGTGGGCAGAGGAGGAGCTGCCTCCACCAGGACACCTGGGTCCTGTTGCCAGCTAGTTCCCCACCCTCCTCTCAGAGGGGGGAACAAAAAATAAAATGAGAGGATCCAGGGCTCAGAAATACCAGGAGACAGGCATAAGACAATAATAGCAGAAGCCCTTTCCTAGGCCTCTTCTCCGTGGATCTTTGTGCATCAGGAAAGAGAACCTGGGGTGGGGGTTGGGGGGATATCTAAGGGTCCCAGTTAGGAACTCATCTGGGCTCCATGTTTTCAGCACCACACTTGAGCCGGGCAGTAACAGGCTTGTAGCAAACATGTGATGAAAGGGGAGAAACTGAGGCCCAGGAAAGGGGGTCGGGTGAGCAAAGGGGTCTGAAACAGGAGACACGCACGAGGTTCTCTCAAGGAGCAGAGACCAGGCAAAGCGGCGCTCCGACCTTCAGTCTCTTTCCCGTGGGAAACAAACTCAAAGAGAGAGGTAGCCGAACACTGTGATGGGATCCAGGAGGCCACCAGCTGCCCAGCCTCAGGGGCGGGGGAGAAACAAAAGAATGGATGGGAATTAAAAATAGAACGAGACACACCACATATACCCACCCTGCTGACTTCTAGCAAAATAAAGGGTGGGTTGAGAGGAAAGAAGGCGGCCAAGGACGTGGGCAGATGGGCATCTACCCCCAAAAGGATAATGCCACCCCCACCCCATCTGACCTTGAGAGTAGGCACCTGTGGGGAAGGGCCAGGAAAGCAGTGCTCTTTTCACTTAATGGAATTCCCAACCCCTCACCCCAAAAAGGGGAGACATTCCTTCTCCAGTGGACCCTTCATCCTTCAAGTCACAAAGGAAACGTCTTATCTTGCATTTGGAAGTGAAAGGCAGTTCTTCATCCACAACATAGAGGATATGAGGTCTCAGGGGAGGCCTGCACCCCCAGTATTGACATGTGTCTCCCAGGCGGTGTCTTTATATCCAGACTGTGACTCAGAACAAGTGAGTCAAGGCTAAGTGGGTCAGGGTGGGGCCAGAGAAGTGCTGGAGACCCCACTGCACCTCCTCCCCTGGCCAACAGGGGAGGGGGCTCTGCTCCTTCCCAGCCATTCTAGGAATCCTGGCAAGTTACTTCCCCCAGCCTGGGGCTCTTCCACTCCCACACCTGCCTACTGCCTCTGCCTGGCTCCTACAGACCGGCCTGCACACAGAAGTCCCACCCAGCCAGAGCCCATGGACACCTTCTAAGCTCTTAAATTCCCAGGTGAGGAGTGGTGAGAGAAGATTAAACACTTTTTCTCCCCCAGCCTCATACCCAATCCAGGCCCAGGGGCGCCCGGCTCAGCACACAGGAAGGCAGCAGAGAAGGCTAAGCCCACACTGACTGCCAGCCAGGGTTCTGACCACCACACCCAGGGCCCAGGCCTGATCTGACCCAGGAACCGGAAAATCTGGGGCAGGAGACAGTTGGGGCCAGGAAAGTGTGGCAAGCTGGAGAGGCAGAAAAGAAGGTGGTGCCTGGATGTGGGGGAGGGGCAGAAGGAGGAAAGATGGGTGAGGCCCTCTGGCTGTGCAGGTTTTCCGGGACTGTGAAACAGGAAGTGGAGAAAGGAGGAAGGAACCTAAGGGGAAAAATCCCTGAGTCTGCGAGGTTAATTGTTAAGTGCTTGGAGATCCCCTGGGGAAGTTAGGCAGAAGGAAGAGGAAAGGAGAAGGTTAAGATGGAGTCACACCATCCTTCCAGGCAGGTCTTGCCTACCACGTGGTCCCTCTGGCTGGACTCTGCAAGCACTGGGCTGTTTCAGTCTCACCCAGAGTCAGTCACCCTCCCCAGAAGCAGGGCCTAAGGAAGAAAAGTCCACACAGTTGGCTTCACCATGGCTGAGGGCTCTGGTTGCCTATTATATGGAACGGTTAGCAAGGCTCCTCTATTCCTCCTCCATCTCAGGAAGAGCCAGACCCCCTTCAGGCTCTGCCACTCTATAGACTAAGACAGCATCCAAGGATGGTAAGGAGACCCCAATTTGTCTGCTCTTTTGGCATTCAAGGAGAATGTATTTGGAACATAACAAGCTTGGGTGTACCACTGCCTCTAATTTTCATAATCAAGACCCAGAGCACAGGCAAAGGGTGGGGTCCTATCTCTTTAGGATCCAGTCTGGTCCCCCTCCAACTCTAACTTTATCTAAAGGGTCCAGCCCTCAACGGAGCAACAGGCTGCCCCCTGTCCTAGAGGCCTGGGATGAAGAAGAAATAGCATTCCCAGCCCCAGGTACTGCCCTTACTCCAAGGCCACCAGAAACCCAAAGGTCTTCTTCATATGGGCCAGTGTGTGTCCATATGGGGCCCTCCCCTCTTTGCAGCCTGAAGAGGTCCTCTGCAACCCACATTCCAGCTGAGCCCCCTCCCCAGTCTCTGGGCTCTGAGTCTCTCCCCAGGAGGTAGGAGCAGTAGAGACCTGGGTTCAGTTCTTGCCTGCCCATCAGGACCCTGGCATCTGAACCAAGAAGCCAGATGGATCAAAGGTGCAGGGTAAAGTACATGAGTGTTCACACACCACACACAGACATGCACACACACAGCTGGCCGTGGCTACTTGTTCACACTACCCCTGCCGCCGCCACCACCCAAGTCCCCTAGGAGGCCTTGGAAGTTGGGAGAGCCCTGCTTCACTCTGGACTTCACTCCCACTCCAGAGGCCAGACATCCAGAAGTTTCCAGGAACAAGGAGCTCAAGGCATATGGGATTAGGCACATTCCTGAGGAGAGGGTACAGAGTGAGGGTCTCCTGGATTTTCTCAGACTGGCCCCAAAGCTGGTCTGCACACTCTGAACAGGACCCAGGGGGCCTGGACCAACTTTCCTCAGAGCAGGGTCTGGCCCAAATGATGACAGACTCACACGGAAAAGAACAACCCACAGCCAACAACACAGCTCTGCACTTGGCCCCCTCGCCCCGAAGACTCCTTCCCTCTACTTCTCTCTACCCTTGGATTTCACTCTTCAGGAGTCCTATACTCTAGGGCCAAACCCAAAGGCCCTACACCAACTTTGAAATAAGTTTCCGGAGGCACTGTCCCTTGTGACACCCCCAACCTCCTCCAACAACCTCTGGCAACCTCCCATACTGTTACTTCACCTGTCTCAGTTCTTAGGGGAAACTTGATGAATGCGCCAGGCTGGGCTTTTGGGCCCCACCCTCCCACCTGGCCAGGTGCTGGGCGGAGGTGGTGGGGCGCCTCATATTGGCGGGCTGAATCAACCACATGGCAGACTGGACCGTTCTGGCGGGAGAGGCTTAAGAAATGGGGAGAAGAAGCAACTCGGGTTCCCTCCACCTCCACTCACAGGGAGGGCAGCCCGGGCTGGACTTCTCAATCCCACAAGGGCCCTGCCACCCTCAACCCCAAGTCTGAGTTGGCAGCACACGAAGGAGTATTTTCGTGGGGTGAGGAGTGAAGGGTACTAGCGGGTGATTTCCAAACCAGACAGATTCCCTCTTCTTCCGCCCCCCAACAACGATTTCCTCGACCCTATTAGCTTCAGATCTCTTACGGATGCCCCAAACCAAAGTTTTGTAGAAGCGAACTCCGCCTCCGTTTATCCCTTTCTGGGCTGAGATCCTGCTTAACCATCTAATCTAGGAAGAGGAGTTTGAACGAGGGGTAACAATCAGTGAAGAAACTGGGGGTCTCTAAGGGGGTCCCTGAGGGGGGTAGCGGTGGCACTTGGCGGGGGGGTAGGAGGAGTAACACGACTGGCCCGTGCAGGGCGCCCGAAACCGCTGGGAGTATGGGGGCTGGGGGCGGAACTGAGCACGCGGAGCCGGGGGCCGGAAAGTGACCGGCGCTCTCGGTTCCCCACGCCGCGCACACGCCACTACGCGCGGACGCCGTGTGGCCAGGTGTTCGCCGCCGCCGCCCCACCACCCCGCCTCCACCATTATATAACCGGCGGGTGGGTTTGGAGTCGCTTGGCTAAGACTCCGGGACTCAGAAGCCCCCCGCCCCCACTCCCAACCCCTCCGCGCGGAGCGCTCGTGCCCTCCCGGGTGTTATGCAACCCAAGCCTGGAGGTGGATAGGAGGCGGCGGGCCGCGCTGCTCACCCGGGCCGGCCAGTGTGGGTAGCCCTTCATCTTGGCGAACACCAGGTCCCCGCATTTGTACTCCTTCTGCCGGTTGGATCGCGACATGGCGGGGCTCCGGGCGCCCCGGGCTCCGCGCCGGGCCGGAAAGCGCGAGCCCAAGTTTGCGCGTGCGGCGGTAGCGGCGCCGCTCCGCTCCGGCCCTCGCGCGGCCCCCGCCTCGATGGTGGCCCCCGACCCGGGCTCCGGCGCGGCCACGGCGACTCCGCCCGCGCGCCGCACGGACGGGGCGGGCGCGGATCTGGGGCAACGCTCCGGTACGATGGGTGCGCGCTTGTGCAGTTGTTTGTGTTTGAAATTCAATTGCTCCCTCCGCTGCGCGAGGCCTCTTCCTCCACCCCCCCGCCCGGTCCCCACTCCTCCTCCCTCCTCCTTTTCCCACTCCTCCTCCTCCCCCCTCCGCACTCCCTCCCGCGGCGGTTTGATGCGTGCAGCTTCTTGACGCCCTGTGCCTGCCACTGCCCGCCGCCCAACCTGGAGCCGCCTGGCGGCGCGCGGCGGCACAGGCATGAGGAGCCGATCGCCGAGCGAGCCGAGTAGGCTTTGTGTGCCCGCTGTCGGTGGGTGCCGGCCCGCCCGCGCGCCCGGGAGGAGCTGGCGCCCGGCTGGACGGAGCGGCCTGGCGCCCCTCCCCCGGGCCCACGGGGCGCTCCCAACCGCGGCTTCTGCGCAGCCAAGTGTCGAAGTTTAGGCGTCGTGCCTCTTTGCCCTCGGCTCCATCCCTATCGGTGACTGTTAGCTCCGTACTCGCTGCGTGGCTGCGTGCTGGGCGCTGGGGCGAGGGCTAGGTACGGCGCCACTGAGCTCAGAGAAGTTCGGCCTGGGCCTCGACGGGCTTACAGTCAGCGGGGGTGTTCCCTGAAATGTCGGGCATTGCGCCCTACCACGGCCTTGGTGGAATTTGTTAGCAAGGAGATTTCGGAGCACTTGTGGCGCAAAGTGGCCACGTTCCGTGTGCGTTAGATAGAACTCTGTTCTTTATGTACTTTCTGGCAAAAGAGATCTGGGCTTCACCACCAGCTAAACCTGCAAAGATGAGCTCCGTTCTAGTGGGAATAGACAGTAGAATGCCAATAAATCCCAATCCCACTTCGATGAAGCGTGAAGTCACTACCTCTCTTGGGGAGGCGCAGGTGGAGGTGAGAGTCTGGGGGAATCTGCGAAGGTTTTACAAAGGTGTTGACTTTGAGTTGGGCCTTAAAGGACAAGAGTGATTTTGCTGGATTCCAGAGACTACATTTCAGCTTAAATTATATATTAAGAAATGATAGAGCCAAAACTTGGATTCGGGTTTTATCATTAAACCAAACAAAACTTTGCCATAATTACATCTTTATTTTGCTGTCACTGTATTGATCTTCGATTTGCTGAATTCCCAGACACCTGTGGTAACTTAGAAATAAGATATTTGGATCTTATGTTATAGTATTGTCTAGATTCTTAAAATTTTGCAACAAAATGTTCTAGGTTTGAAGAGAGAAAATAAGTGAGTTTTTCTTCCCACAATTTCCTGATCCTACTTCAAAGCATATGCAGAATCTCCCTGATAAAGAACTGCAAGATGAAGCCAAAGGGCCCAGGTCCAGGGCCACATCCTATCATGCTGTTCACTAGCAGTGAGAATTGTGCTACCCTCTGAACATCTCCCTGAGCCTCAGTTTCCTCAACTTGAGATGGGATCACATTACTTTCCTGCCAACTCACAGACATGGGATGGGTGCTTATCGTTAGCCAAGACCTGACCTTGTTCCCTGTGGTCCTTCATATCAGTTGGTTGTCCTTATGTCCATGGCAATGCATTTCACATGTTTTGCCTTTATAAAGTATGGCCTCTCAGCATAATCCAACCTTATGATAGGAGTCCCTCCGGCCCTGTCCACAGGCATTCCAGGGCCCAAGCTGCTGGCACAGCATGACACTCTGTAAGGTCCTCATGCATGCCCTCAGCCACAGACTTGTCGATTTGTTTCAATAGCAAATCCAAACTTGTTGCAACAGAGCAGCTAGGTCCCAGTTAGTGTTTACTCTACCATGCATTCCAGTTTGAAATGCAGTCAGTGTGATAGTCCAGATTCTGTCAGTCTAATACCTTTCTTTGTTGTTCTTATTGTTATTAGAAGAGAATCTTGTCACAAGTTCTTAGAGATATTTCAGTAAATCCAGTGTCACAGTTGGTTTCCTTTTAGTGTCCAGGCCAGTATTATAAATATGCTGTTTCAGTGCAACCAATGCATTTTTAAACTATTTTCCAATTTAGCTCACCCCAGTTTAGTTCAAGCCAGACTCCTATCCATTTCACCACTTTGTTGTGTGGAGATGGCAATAAGGCTTCTTAAATTCTTATTTTGCAGCAAATCTCTTGGGCCTGTTATTCAGCCCACCATGCAGATGCTGGTTGAAATAAAACAACCAGAGTTCCCTTTGTTGCAATAATCTCCCAGGCCTTGGTTGCAATTTAATATCCAAGTTCTCCTTACAATAACATCATCAACCAATTCACAGCTGCCTCTAACAACCAAGCCAAGAGCTGAAGAGGGTCAGTTACAGGGGCGGGTGTAAGCCTGCATCCCCTGGGATTCAGGTCTAACTTAGTGCTTTGCAGAATTCAACGTGCAAATGAATAATCACCTGGGGAGCCTCTTAAAAAGCAGACTCTAACTCAGTAGGTTTGGGGTTGCCTGCATTTCTGTTTCATCACCCCAGGTGCTGCTGCTGGTTTAAACCTCTGTTTGATTAGTAAGGTCCAAAACACAGGGTCACGGCCCCCAGATGGCTAGCTCAGTTTGGAGCCAGTTCACAGATGTCTCCGTGAAATGGTTCTTTTGACGCTGGTGCTTGGTTCTACATTTGTGTGGGAGGAAGGTCAAGAAAGAAGTCAGTGGACTTGGGGCCCTAGGGCAGAGAAGACTTGTGGGTGCTGGTCTGGCTCTAGAGTTCTGAAATGAGTCTTGAGGAGCAAAGTCAGGGAGATGGTGGGGGACTTATTTTTTGACCATGTCAGACAGAAGGACTGTACAACAGTAGGGTTGTGAAGCTTAGAATACTAGAGGAAGGTAATGTGGTCTAGGGGAAATTGTTTTTGCATGTGAAGGGACCTGGGTTTCAGACTTGCTTTTAACAAATGACTTAACTAGAATTTCTAAACAAAATATTCTTCTACTGCAAAAATACTAATACAAATAGCTACCCTTATGGGGTGGTTGTGAAAAGAAACGGAGATCATCTGAGTGAAAACCTTACCTGCTCATTAGGTTCAAAGGAAATGTCAGTTTCCTTCCCTTTAACTCCTAAAAGAGAGTCGAGGGGTTTGGCTTCTGTCCCAGCCCTCAACACTGTGTGACCTGCTCCCATTACCTCTTCTTGGCCCTGGTTACCCCTTCTGGAAAATGGAGGCGAGGAGCATGAATAGTTCAGCCCAGTGGTTTTCAAAACTGCCTCCATTGCCCCTTCTCACTGGTGCCACCCAAAGTAAAAAAAAAAAAATCATGCTTTTATGCATTTTACAATGAGTCAGAGTGGTTAAGAGTCTTGAGATTAAAAAAAAAAAAAAAAGGCCTGAGATAACAAAGTCTTAAGTACCTGTTTCGCCATTGTGACATACGATGTCTTAGGAAAACTACTTAACTGCCCCCAGTCTCAGTTTGCATCTCTGTAAAATGGTCTGTAAAAAGGAGTTGTGGTGAAGAGTGAATGAATTTAATGTATTTTAAAGTGCTTTGAATAGAGCCCAGGAACATGGTAAGGGCTTGATAAAATCACTTGCCACTGTATTTCTATTAGATTTTGAATAATATTTAGTTCAAGAAAATGGATTCCTTTGTAGTGAGCTTCTAGATACCAGCCTTATGCACTGGTAAAACTGGCACTGCTCCAATAGGTGTGGGTGTTCACATGGGCCTGGAAACCCGTTTACCTGGATTTGAGTCCCACTCCACCATTCACTTACCGCATGACCCGCCACAAGTGACTCAGCCCTTCTGTGCCTCAGTTTTCACATCTGTAAAGGGGGATGTTGATAAATCAATTAATACGTTGATATTCGTAAATGCTTAGGACAGGCTTGTGGGATCTTAGTTCCCCGGCCAGGGATTGAAGCCCTGCCCTCAACTGTGGCCGTGCAGAGCCCTAACCACCAGGGAACTCCCAGGTATTCAGTTCAGTCACTCAGTCCTGCGCAGCTCTTTGCAACCCCATGGACTGTAGCATGCCAGGCCTCCCGGTCCATCACCAAATCCCAGAGTTTACTCAAACTCATGTCCATTGAGTCAGTGATGCCATCCAACCATCTCATCCTCTGTCGTCCCCTTCTCCTCCTGCCTTTAATCTTTCCCAGCATCAAGGTCTTTTCCAGTGAGTCAGTTCTTCCCATCAGGTGGCCAAAGTATTGGAGTTTCAGCTTCAGCATCAGTCTTTCCAATGAATATTCAGGTATCCCAGATATTAACTGTTAATATATTATATTTGTATTATTAATTATATTAATTATTTTCTTAAAAATGCTTATGTTGTATAACTCTTCTGTACATTTAATATCTCAAGTAATAAAAATATTTTTAAAAAAGGATTCTGTTTTTTGTTGTTTATTTTTTTTTATTTTTTGTGGCCATCATGCAGTTTGCAGGATCTCAGTGCCCCAACCAGGGACTGATTCTGGGCCATGGCAGTGAAAGCCCAGATCCTAACCACTAGACTACCAGGGGACTCCTAGATTCTGTTTTTTAAAAGTGAAAATCATTGGAATTCATTCTCTAAAGCTATTCTTTTCACATATCTATTTAAACTTTGATTGATTAAAATTAAATGTTCCCTTCCTCAGTCACATGAGGCACTCTTTAAGTGTTCAGTGGCCTCATATGGCTATTGCCGACTGTACTGGACAACACAAATATAGAACATTTTCATTATCACAGCAGTCCAAGGACAGCACTGTTCCAAGGCCATGGCTTCCCACTTGAGCTGTAGATTAGCGTCACTTGAAGAATTTAAAAATACTAATCCCTGGGCCCAACTCCTCAGAGTTTAATTGGTTGACAGTGGGAGCTATTAAA